TATGGAATTTATTTATTTTTAATTTTCAAATGACTATAACTTGAAAACAGTAAGTGATCGACACGACACATGCGGTTTTCAGTAATGATCACAGGATCATTAAACAAATCAAATGAAATATAGTTTCCTGTTTGAGAACTTGTAAACGGTTGAGATCACCACCCCTAAACCATATATATTCTTGTACGGGACAATAAAACAAATCAAATGAAATAAAAGGCGAGTCCCCTGGGGTCACTCCCACCCCTTCCTGTTTCAGAACTTGTAAACGGTCGAGATCCCCACCCTTAAACCATATATATTCTTGTATGGGACAATAAAACAAATCAATTGAAATATAGAGAAAGTCCACAGGGGTCACCCTACCCCCTCCTTTTTGAAAACTTGTAAACGGTCGAGATCCCCACCCCTAAACCATATTTATTCTTGTATGGGACAATAAAACAAGTCAAATGAAATATAGGGGGAGTCCCTGGGTGTCACCCCCACCCCATCCTGTTTTGAGAACTTTTAAACGGTCAAGATCCCCACCCCGAAACCATATATATTACTTGTACGGGACAATAAAACAAATCAAATGAAATAAAAGGCGAATCCCCTGGGGTCACTTCCACCCCCTTCCTGGGAGTGACTAATTATGGGAGCTTTGTTTGGAAGACTTCGTAACAGCATCATGTTACAATTATTTCTTGTATTAAGTAATTTTTTTTTAAAGTCGGAAAAAAAGTTAAACACCCAATCTACAAACTTACAACCTATTTGAAATATTACACATCTACCGTTGCAAACTTTCCACAGGTGCTATCCAGCACTTGTGGTTTTGGTAAAGATGATTGGTGGCTGTTAAACGTCCAGCGGCAAATTATATTCAGGACGAGAACATGTTTTGAATATGTTATGAACATGTTCCTGGCTTTCAACTAGACTTACTCGCTGAGCCGGATTGTTAACATGCTGGTTCAACACGTAAACTGCTGCAGGAAGACAAGTCACCCACATCGGACGCATTATACATGCTCTGAGTCTTTGTTTTATTTTCCATGATTTTGATTATCCTTTAACAAAATTTACAGTACTTGTTTTTCGCAATTTCATCATTATAACATAAATTGCAAAGATACTGAAAACTAGTTTAGTTGTATTCTATGATTTATCACCAATAGTAAAAAAAAAAAACGACAATAAAACTGTATAACTTTAGAAAATATTCCAGTTGAACACGAAGATTACAAATAATTGTTAAAAATGAATGTGCATACAACTAGAGATTATTGCGGTATTAAAAATGAATAATGATACCTGACAATGTAGATTTTTAAACCGTCATTGAATTCTAAATTTACATAAATGAATATACCCCGAATTCAGTGTAAGCTGCAATATAAGTGCATGCAATTGTTACAAAGCCTCCCGTCATAACAGAATTCAATCCTGACATCGAAACGTCTTTCAAACATTGCTTCAATGCTATAAATTCTCAATTTTATACTAGATTCAGCCTGCAAATACAAAATGTTGGATTGTGGTGAACGAGAAAAATATTAATAACAAAAATCCAAATTGTACCTACACTTTCACCACTAACCTAGTATTCCTCAACAAACATAAAAATCTACAAATCTCGTCAAATCATTAAAGTTGTTATACAGACATTCTAAACTGACAAATTAGATGGAATTTTGGTCAGAAAGTTTTATAGCCAATAAAACAGAACACAGAATAAAAAAGAGGGAAGATATAACTGCACGTTAAATGTTAAAGGGGCACTAGCTGTCAAATTCATATTCACATATTTGACTCAAATTCTCATATTTGATTTATAACGTACTAAAACACATATCCAACTTATAATACGTCTTAAATAAATAGTTAACAGTGCACATACTAGATAATATATATATATATATATATATATATATATCAGATTTTCTTGTGTATTTTAGTCTTGACGGCATCTAATTAACTATCGAGATGACCCCGAAAACTACCGTCGGTCACATAACACGATATAAACATAAACATAAATATAAATAGACATATGGTACGCGTGCAAATAGATTTTTCTATGATTTCATGTTTTAGGTTAAAACATAAGTTAATTTTCGATCTTACCTGTATAAGAATGATTTTTCTGTGGATCGAAAAAGTCAATCAAATGCTTTATCTTTGTTTCACTTTCAATGTTGACATTCTTTTCTTTTCATAACCGAATACGCATCAATCATGTGTAATCCATCTCTAGCTAAGGGGTTAAATTGAAGTGCACATGAATACAGTTTCATTGAGGTCGAATTATTCACTTGCAAGTGAATAATTCATCATCGATGTTTCTTACTTGATTTTGACAAAATTGAACATACTGACTTCTAAAATCGAATTATTATTTCACTATTTCACTTTCATTAATGATTTTAAAAAAAATCAGAATTTACTTTCTTTAGGTATCTCGTAGCTAGTGCCCCTTTAACCAATCTGATTAAAATTTAAATCTATATCATGTCGCGTGCTATATATAACTCAAACGAGGATAACGAAATCAGAGGTCTATATTTTAATTCGGTTGAAGGTTGGTATTCAATCTATGTAAATACATACCTGTCCAATGAATATTCGAGCCGCTGCAGCAAACGATTCCACTGATGATGTTTTCATGACAAATTTAATGACACGGGCAATAACTCTGATTATCACCTGCATCGCCCCGAGATAATATAAAACGTTTGTGATAGCATTGAAAAACACAACTACAGGTAGAACCTAAAAGACAAAAAAAAGACAAAGTTTAGAAATAAGTCTTTATGTCTTATAAGTAAAATTTATTTAAATTTGTGACAAATACAAATATAAACTTATTTGAAAACATATACATGTACACATAGAGCCAAAAAATTACCTGTTTACAGCTCAAAAGAAAGGTTACAATGCGATATTGGTCGTTTTTGAACGAGATATATAGATGTTGTATTGCAATTTCGAATATTAAACTCAGGATACTCTTATCCTTCCAGAAAATATGTACCGTTTTTATGTAAAATTAATACAAGAAAACATTTTGATAAGTCATGTGACGAATATCTCATTAATTTATATGTATCTTCAAGCTCCATATATGATATATTGATAGCCGAATTATCGGCTACCCTTCCGGAGCACTTGTGAACACCCTCGGTTTTACCAGAGTTGGTGTATCTTGTGATGCTTTTAAATATCTCCTTAGCCTGTTATGATATAGACTCTGATGTATTTAGAGCTAGCGTTTCTTTATTGTGTTGTTTATTCCCTTTTAAGTTTACACCACGATTTCTTCGTATAAAATCAATTTTCTTCCCTGCTATGATGAAAAGTTTTCTAGATCTTTCCGCATGTGCTGCTATCCATAAACTGACAAAACAGGTGTTAAACAGCAATAAAAAAGCATTACCATTATCATACTATATAGCATACACCATGTATGCTATATACAATAGCATAGAGACGATTTTTCCTATCCAGGAAAAAGTTTTTCTTCTCTTTCTGTCCCACCATCGTGTTCGAAGGAAAGATGGTCGACCGAACAATGCAAATGAATCTACATTCAGTATGGGAGCTGATTCCTGACAAGATGATTCGTTGAAATCTCCACAGTATTCGGCATGCGTTCCGTTTTCGACGTCTGACGAACATGTTGTGTCCTGAAACATGTTTTTACCCAGGTCATGTTACCTTTACCAGCCGCCCTAACGATACAGTATGAAGGTAAAGAAAGCACCGAATGGTGTCTTGTTTACATCTTCACTTTACACAGGTAGGTCAAATCTTTGTTACTAAATATATAGTTTAACAGGCAGTAACCTGAGGGTAAAAGTAGATAAAAATGACTAAGTTTTGTAAGGAGTTAGCAAATGATAAAAAATTTAATCATAACATCAACATATGATATGAACCATGCATTTTTCAATATAGTTCTAAAGAAACTCGACATATTTGCTACTGGACAATAAACAAGCAACGATCAATCAATCTGTTACCTACCATAGAATTGCTCAGAGTTGAAGTATTAACCACTGGACGTAAAGCAAGCAACAATTAAATCAATTGCCTTCAATAGGACTGCTCAGAATTGAAGTATATACCACTGGACGTCATACAAGCAGTATCAAGCAATCTTTCCACAGCAATACGATTGCAAAGTTCACATATTTACTACTGAATGTTAGGCAATCAACAATCAATCAATCATGCAATCGTTTTCCTACCGTAGGATTACTCAAAATTGAAATATATATGACAATGGACGTTAAACAAGCAGTAATCAATTAATCTTTCCACTGTGATAGGATTGCTGGTTTAGATATTTGCTACTGAACGTAAGGCAATCAATAGTCAATCAATCATTTACATACAATACGATTGCTCAGAGTTGAAATATTTCCAGCTGGACGTGAATGTAAGGCGAGCAATAGTCAATCAACCATTCACCTACAATATGATTGCTAAGAGTTGAAATATTTCCCACTGGACGTTAAACAAGCATCAATTTAATCAATCATCTTCCATGGGCTTTCTCAGAGTTAAAATATATGCCACTGGACGTTAAACAAGCAATTTTCCCACTACAATATAATTGCTTAGTTCAAATATGAACGTAAAGCAATAATCAATTTGAAGAAGCATATTAATTTAATTCTAAATAGAAATTTCAAATTTCATCAGTGCTATAGTTAAGACACGGCAAATCCTGTCCTTTCAAGTGTAATTACTATTCTAAACTGATTAGTATCTTAGCTTGTTAAAAAATCATCTCAAGTTTAGCATTACATTGATCTCAAAATAAATACAAGCAAATATGATTTGTATTATCTAGTCCATATATGTCCTGAATCAACATACAAGTGTTTGCGATTTACTGAATAGATTGGGAATTCCCTTACGTAATTATTATATTTTCAGTTGACATGACACATTATTAAATATACTTTTTCCTTGACACTGATTTAAATTTTCTACGGTTAACTGGTTAACTTGCCATTGTGAAATTTAACTGCATAACGATAGAATGAAAAGTGTGTGTGCATGTGTGTAGCACAGAATGGTTTGTGCTATGAATTTATGCGGAATTAAAATGATTTACAGTTTTATATTTCTACTGTCGGTACACATAGCAGATATCAGTAAGTTATAATAAGATATATGTTGTTGTTGTTGAATGATGTAGATATCAATAACACAGCGCTGAAATATGTATTATATATGGTCGGTGACAAAGATAGGCGAGACTATATCTCATTTATCCCCACCTATGTAGCAAAATACCAACTTCAAATTGAATATACATTTCCCAACTTATTCGGTATTGAAGAAGTTGCAGCTTCTACTCAGACTTTGTAAAACGTCACCAGTGTCTGAGCAGAAAGTTGATGATCCAGGGGTATGTCATAGAACGTCTCGTCCTTTTTCTAAAAATGTTCATCGGAAGGTATCAAGACCTTGTTGATAAATATTCCGTATCAACTTTACAAATAAAACACGATGGTCTTGAGGTATATGTTCTGGGTACTGACGTTGTTTATCATCTTAATAACGTGTTATGTAGTATTCTTTTATTTGTCTTTATGAATATTACTTTTACTGTTTAGTCTGTTTTTGGTGATATCCATTTGACGTGGCTCTGTACTTATAGTATACATTACGTCATTGTATTATTGTTATATGATAATTTTTGTATTCTTGTCTTTCATTTTTGCTAAATTAAATGTGCTTTGTCTATATGCCTTTTTGTGTTTCTTTTAAACATATGACGTGGCTCTGTACTTATACATCCTGTCATTGTGTTATTGTTATATGATAATTTTTGTATTCATGTCTTACAATTTTTGCTTATATGCTTTGTCTATATGCCTTTTTTGTGTTTCCTTGTTACATACGACGTTGCTCTGTACTCATACATCCCGTCATTGTGCTATTATGCCATAGTAAATGTTTGTAGTCTTGCCTTTCATTTTTGCTAGTGTGCTTTGTCTATATGCATATTTGTGCTTCTTTGTTACATGTTAGTTTGTTTTTATAGTGATTAACTTAAAAAAGTTATTACACAATGTTGACTGCTGTACTTATTTTTGACATGTTTACCTAATATGTCTGCTTGTTTTGTTCACACAAAGTTGTCAATATTAATATAATGGAATTTTATGCAACTGTCATTCAAGTGAAAAGGTTAAGCTAGCTATAAAACCAGGTTTAATCCACTATTTCCTACATAAGAAAATGCCTGTAATAAAAAAGTTTAACGTATAAGTATCAAGGTTAAAGTACAACATTAAAACTATGATATAAGAAAATTGTATCTAAATAACAAAACAGTTACTTAGGTACTGAACTGACGCCTACTGAAATATAAATTAATGATATAATGTTAACTCTGCTATGTTATTCAACCAGATAATATGAAATTGGATCATATCATCGGAGATCAAATAAATATAAGTGACACTAACATTTTGGTGTTGTTGATTTCACAATTGATGCCATTTTTCTTATATTTCTAGAATTCATAGTTTTATACTGTAATATTTTAATTTTAATATCATGACAATACTGTGTCGTGTTTTTCTGAGAGCAGACTTTTCTACGGTATATTCTTTCTTGTGTGTTTGTAAGATATAGTATACTGTAAAGTATTTTTTGTGATTTTCCTGTAATAGTTTAATTTAATTATAACTAGATGTTCTTTCATGACATGGTTCCCGTGATTGAGATATAAAAGGGAAGTAAGATCTGAAATCAAAACATTGGCTTATTTTTTTCGACTATTGTTTGTTGTTGAGTTACCACCACACTAAAGTATAACCCAAATGCAAGGTTAGATTACAGCATAAAAACAATTATGGAGATTGTGTATAAAAAACAAGACCATTAAAATAAATTATTTACGGGTCTTACAGCTGCTACCTTCCATAGTTTCACTTTTAAATCACTGGACTTGCTGAGCACATGTTAATCCATTTTCAAATTATGGTCAGGCTAAAGGTTGCATACATACGAACCAAAAATGAGGTCGAATTATTAAGACAATGATATTTTAGCGATGTCTTTTTTTCAAAAATTTTATTCATACAAGATTTAATCAAACTGCTACTTAAAGCGAATTATTATATAATATATGTGTGGTTTTGTTTGTCAATGGCGATTATGCAAACACAAATATATTTCATTTTTTAAAGATCTGGCAACTTTTCAAAATAAAAGAATTGCCAATTTGTTTGTGAACAAGTTGGTATTGAACTTTATATCGTTTCGTTTTTATATATACTTTTCTTTTGTTTCGAAAACATTGTCATATACAAATATGTATTGAATTTAAACTTCCAAATAACCACATTATTTGTTAGAATGACTATAAGATAAAAAAATATTTTTGTTGTATTTTTAACATAACATTCCGATCATGTAATACACAACTACACGGATGTCATTCGGTATACCGAGGTAGTGATCGCGAAAGATTGAGTTATGTATAAAATCGGATCGTGAATAAAATGAGATTCAATTCAATTTCAATTTTTTTTTTGCATTTAAATTATGGAAGAATTCATTTTAATTAAAAAAAAAGGCATAGAAAAGAAGTTTGTCTGTCAAAAATTTAAGGTACAGAAAAGTGCAGTAATTTTTAAGAACCACTATAGGAGACACGTACATATTTCCTTGTGAATCTCTGCATGTAAAGAAAAACACGTTTTTAATCTATAATCATCATTGTCACATTCAATAAATCTTACAAATTTGAAACTTAATCTTTTGTGTGTTAGATAATACAATCTAATGCATAAGCTGTTTTCCCGAAAGTGTTGGATTATTGTTAAAAAAGAAAAGTTTTGGTTTATTTTATTTATCCAAATTGATCGTCAAAGATCACGAAAATCGTTATTTTGATCGTAAATGTAACAGGAACAGACTTTTAGCTATATAGGTTCTTCTCATTGTTGAAAGCCGAACGATGACACACAGTTGCTTACAGCTACGTCATTTAGTCTCTTTTGGATATGAGTATCATGGCATTGGAAATCATTATATGCATTTTTAATTTTTTAAATTGATAACCAGAAATCTATATTTCTTTTACCGTTTTGATGTACTTTGATTGCTTGAAGCTTGTGATATCTTAAAAAGAACGTACATGAATGGTTTGACACAAAGGATGGATTGACAACTAACTTATTTTTCTATCGAATCCTTAAAACTAAATCTTAAATAATACGTATTATATTTTTTTACAAGTAGTTGTTTTTTAATCACTGATGTATAATAAACAAAATACATGTTAAAAGTCTTACAATTTCATCATTAAGTTCGCAAAACTTATTGATTTTTTTATTCTGATAAATACCGTTAAGAAAAACAATTTCGTATTTGTATATATATGTAACGTTGTTTTCAATTTAGACTTATATATATATATAGTCACATTACCTGAAGATCTGTGAAAGCAGTGAAAGCGCTAGTAAAAGTGATGAATTGAAACCGTCATTATCTTATATTAATTTTCTTATATATATATATATATATATATATATATATATATATATATACAAGTCTAAATTGAAAACAACGTTCAAACCTATATATATATAATTCGTCTAAACATCAGCCCAACATTGTAAGATCTATAAATTTGCGTTAGCAAATGCTTTGTTCTTCCCTTGCGGGAATTCGAACTCCTGCTTCTGAGATATCGTGGCACCAAATCGCATTGCACTATGCCCGACGCGCTAGAGACCACTCGATCTATATATATATATATATAAGTACGTCTGAACCAGTGACAACTCTACGACAGATTGTATCCATGGGATCACCAGTGATGGTGATACAAGACTGAAAACACATTCTGTATATATAATTTGTCTAAATATCAACCCAACAATGTAAGATCTTTTGTTCTTCTCTGGTCGGGATTCGAACTCATGCTACTGAGATATTGTGGCACCAAATCGCCTTGCACTATGCCCACCGCGCTAGACTGCTAGATCACCTAGGGTCGACGAAAAACAAGCTTTCGATGACCGGGTGTTACCTTTCCTCGTCGTAGCACAGTACATGATATATAAAGCATGAAGATGGAATATTACAGATCAGCTGAATTATGTATTCATGCCTTATATATCATGAATACAATGTATTTAAGAATTGCAATTTCAAATTTCAGATGCAAGTACCTGTAACAAGTCATTGACCTCTGATTTGAGAGATGACCAGTTCACCGCCTCATCTGTATACAGTGTTGATTACAATGCCAGCTCTGCAAAATTTGATGAAGGTAAGTGTGACCAAACACACAGTAAACAAAAAAACAAGATAGAAAACTTCTGACTGAGCAACACGAAGGTAAGGGTAACCAACACATAAAACCGGGGTTGATCACAGGTGCTTCAGAAGAGTAAGTAGATCCTGCTCAGCATGTCACCCGTCCTGTTGCTCATGTAAGAACAAACCTGTTAAATTTAATAAGTCTAATTATGTAGGTCAAATTTGATGACTAGCTTTAGATCGTGGTTACGACAATATGTACATAATATTTAATAACTGTCAACCAACTCGTGATGGCGTCCGTTTAATTGTCGATAGAATGATTTCAACTTCACCCATTGGAACTCTTGTTTTAATAGCAGCTTGTGGGCAGCAATCCTCTACCAATGAAATCATGATAGGACACGCATGCCCTGGAATATCGTATCAACTAGGAGGTGTATGCTCCATATACAAGCGCTGCTAAAATGATGCTACAGAGAAATGGAAAGTCCACAATTGGGAAGCTAAAATCTTCTCTTTTGTAGTTTTGTATTCACTGACCCTCATGGTCCTTTTAAAGACGTTTGTCAAGATATTAAGCAGACTTTACTGCATCTGTTGTATCCTTTGTTTCGAGTTGGATCGGATATATGCGTTCCACATAGTCACCAAACTTTGAAATAAGTGAGATGACATCATCTATATAGAGGAAAGTGAAGTTAAAGGCTAATTCTAGCTTCTTTTTACTATTCATAAGAAGCTTTGTTATGAAATTAGTCGCATGAACAGAACATCATTTGATAGAGGTAAGTGTAACCCTCACAAACATTGTATCTCTGTAAGGCACTAGAAAATTAAAATACCGTTTATGGGGAAATTTTTGCGCCTTTACAATCATCGCGGTATACTATTAACCTTCCGAAACATTTGACTGCTCATTTAAATGCATTGTACTATAGGCCATGCAACGATAATAATGAACATAGCGGAGATAAAACGCGCCAATGCAATGTAAAAATGACAACTAAACCCGACCCGAACCTCTTCCCCGGTAATATTTTAAACTTGAATAGAACATGATATGATTGAAAATCTGTTGTTTTGATTTTGCAACCAAGATAAAAAAAGACATTTATTCTTAAATTTTTTTTGCCTCAACTTACTGAAACTTAAAGATCGAATTTCATAGATGGTAACTTTGGCAACCAAATATCTGGAGAATTTCGAATCATTTTTTGTTATTATTTTGTTACTCAATATGTACACTGGAAACCTATCAAAAACCCATGGACACATGTTGATGTGTTGTTAAATCTTTGTTATTAATTTTTTCGATCCTCGACTGTCTCACAAAACTGTTCCATGATTTCCCAATTTGTCTCTTAATTCTGACAATTCAGAACAGATAACATGGTCTCTGTTCTCCGGTCTCTGTCATAATTTTACGAAAAGGAGTTATCATATGCATTAATTGGTTTCTAACATAACTGAAAGGTTACAGAGCCCCAAAATTAGAGATCCTGACCAAGATACCCTTGATACCTCAGTCAAGATACTTGGGCTGTTTGACCCAAAGGAATGGCGGAGACCGTGCTATTATCCAATACTATAATAGTATAGGCGCTTATTCCTTATTTTACACTGTTTGTTCTTTAGATTTACTCAGTTATTAATGTCTCATTTAAGTATACTTCACACCAATCTACAATATTCCTACACAAGTACATGTATGCATATTTTTCTTTTTTTAAAGGAGGTTGGGCCGCTAGTGTTAATAATGCCTATCAGTATCTACAGATAGATTTACAAGAAATATGGGAAATAACAAGCATTACAAATAAGGATATAAGCAGGTGGTCCTGGTACAATACACAAGCTTTCAGGTATTATAACTTAGGATACAGACGAGTGGTCCTGGTACAAACACAAGCTTTCAGGTATTATATCTCAGGATACAGACAAATGGTCTTGTACAAAACACCAGCTTTCAGGTGTTCTAACCTAGTCAGGATAGACAAGTAGTCCTGGTACAATGCACAAGCTTTCAGGTATTATATCTCAGTCAGAATACAGACAAGTGGTCCTGGTATAATAAACAAGCTTTTAGGTATTTTTTTGTCTCCCGCCATGTTTTTAATTAAAGGAGAAAGATGGATTTCTATATTGAAAGAAGCAGTAAGCTATATACATATACATATACATATACATAAGGATGTAGAGAGTATGGGTCAATACGAAAAAACAAATATTAGTAGACTAATAATTATCAGTAGTATATAAGATGTTCCTGACCCCCGGTACATCGCAATCAAATAACAAAACTTCCGCAATCCAAGGAAAGTTCAAATAAGAAAGTTCCTTATCAAATGACAAACTGAAAAGCTTAAACACGTCAAACGAATAAAACAGGCATTGACAATAATGTGTGAACAAAACAAACAGACATAATAAGTAAAAATGTAAAAAAAATTAGGATACATCAGTCAACATCATGATATCATTTTAAGCACTTTAAAAACAAATTACAATTTCAACAAAGAAAAACAAAATGGCATATAGACACTCTTTACACAAAGAACAGAAGCAAAATTTAAAGACAAAAATAAAAAAAAATACCATATTACAATAACTATGCCGGGATGTACAAATACCGAGCCATGCCAAAAGTATATCACCAAAAGTAGAATAAGTAGTAAAGGGGATACAAATATACAAAGAAAAAGAAAAAGATACATAACCCTGGTTCATCAACGTTATGTTCAGACACTGGTGATATTTTATGAAGTCTAAGTAGCAGTTGTAACCTTTTGAATACCGATGGAGTATGGAACTGTATACCCCTTATGCAGGTGATATTAGTATACTGCTGCTTAGTCTGGGGAAACTTATAGTTTCAAAATTTAAATTGTTTTGTTTGTCATAGATTGTAAATCTTTTTAAGCAATTGAATGCCATGATATACATCGTGGTCCAAATAAATATCGATGGTACTACCCAGAGAACGTCACTACTCAAATTATTCACATCCTCGGGCTTATGGTTGTTAATAAATATGTGTATATGTTTTCGGTATCTATGTTGTATCTAGTTAAGCATGAGCATAATTTGTTATCATTTTCCTTAGAATATTGCACAGCAAAGATGGATTTACATGGACTGCATACAATACGTACTTGTCAGATGAAATACTTGGGGAAACATTTAACAGACAGGACACATTAACCACTATTCAGCTCAATCCGACGATAAAGGTTAACTTTTATTATTTTATTGTTATAACCTGGTGGCCATGATCTGCTTACCTTCGTGGATCCCCAAACATCACATATAGTTTTGTTTTAAAAGAGTTCGTGTGGTTCCTTGTTGAGGTTTCAGGCGTCTACTTTGTGCTTTCTTATATTTGCAATGTCTTTGTTGCTTTAACATTGAAAAGTCTGGTCTGTCTTTTGTTCTGAAAAATCGAGTTGAAGGATTTAAAATGTACGTAACTTATGAATTACGCATTTTATTGTCTAAGGATACTCATCTTCCAATCGGACCCACAACATGAAAAAAGGCTATTAACGTATATATGGCAAAAATCATTCAAACATTCAAGAATCAATCGGAAATTTTTGTCCCTAGTCGTTTTCAATGTACAGTTTTATGATATAAACATAAGAAATGAACAAAAAAACAATACATTTTAAGATAAAGAGATGTGGCATTATTGCTGATGAGACATCTTTCCACCAATTATAAAAAAAAAAAAAAATGCGGACGAAGTAAAAGTAAATCATCACGCGGCCTTCTTTAATGAGTAAACCCGATACCATATAGTTTGTTAAACATAACAAAACGTGAAACAATTCAAACGAAAAAAAACCCCAACAACATCATTTATACAAACATTATAAATGAAAAACAAATATAGTAGACACTAACCAACGAGCTGCCATTAAATTACAGGCTTCTGACTGCACACATTCATAATGAATGGGGGCGGAGTCAAAAATGTAAAGCCTGTCTGGAAATTGTAATGCCCTTTCCTCTCCCTCACTAATCTGTGATAGTGGTGTATCGGTTCCCTACCTGTGAAATCCAGTTTGAAATGACATAGCTCATGAGATTGGAAGGAAATTGAAAAAATATATATAAATACAAAAGACTTAAGTACCTACAAAAACACTTACATGACTTAGGGTAAAGAAGTTATAAATGAGTAACGCTAAAATTACACTGTAACGAAATAATGTAGGACCATACATTTATATAATTGTGTAGCTACATATTCTAAGTAATGCAAAATTTTATTTAAAACAAAACCATTATTTTTGGGATTTAAAAAAAAAAACATAAAAAAAATCATAGATCTTACTACGATGTTCAATTGATTACCATTATGATAAGTTTATTAGAAGGACAAACGAATTTACACGGATCGTATCTAAATTAACGGGCTCTCTAAAACACTTAGGTTAAAATGCGTTGTAACAAACGATAAGGTACAGCCAAAATTTCCTAACAATTCCCTGTATACCTGAAAGAATTTTGTAATAGATTAAACTAACCTGTTGTAGCAAAATCTCTGGCAATTGATTTATCAGTTATATAAGAATACCGTTTAACATAAAAGTCACTATTTACACTGGCACAACGAAAGAGTTGGGGAAATATACACATCGTTTGAAAGTTCAACGGAACATCATCGTCTAAAAAAGGAAAATTAACAATTGTGATAAAAGGAAAAATGGACTTTCCTGTGGATAATTGGTAAATTTTTCTTTAAACAATCAGCGTTGAAAGACTCCATCCAGCTGTGAGAAAAAAACTAATCAAAACAGATCCTTTGTTTGACAGCAATTTGATATATATTATGTTTATCTCTTTATTACAGACTCGATTTATTGTATTTAACCCTGTTAAATACAACTGGCGGCCATCAATGCGAGTGGAACTTTATGGCTGTAAACGAAATGACGTGGCAATCATCAATATTCCAACAATCATAGAAAATAATATCGAGGTAAAATACTTCATTTGAATTTAAATCAGATGCGGAAGATGCCAAAGAGATATGTGTTAAATCATCAAAAATTATTATTTTTTTTAAAGTTGAAAATGAAGAAATGAAGAAATTCTGATATTCTTACTTCTAGATTTATCTTAGAAAACATGCATACATTCATTTTATTAAACTAATTATATATTCTTACGTCTTACATCTTTAGTATATCTCCAAAGATCCGGTGTACAAGATGCAGGCATTTGTTAATACACTATCAAAAGCAGATAACCCATTAATGGAATTTAAGAATTGTGTTGGTATCTATATCTAATGAAATTACTAATGCATTGTTTTGTTAAACTATAAAGCTTTTAAATATATTATAAGGTTATAAGTGATAAAATAATAATAGGTTTCTATCAAGCTGTTCAGGACACCTGACAGACGATCAGCAAAAAAGAAGCCAGCAATGCAGCTTGCAAATAGATAATTATTACACAATACATATTTGTCTCAAAATCAGCTACCATACAGAACTTCTACTGAGACAGTCTACCAAAGCAGTTTTGACAATTGGGTAGCAGAGTCAGGACAGCGAAGAATGAAATGATTCGTAGTCCTATAGATTCTGAAATATCGAATTAGTATAAACACTTCCATTTCTGTATATGCAATATGATTACACTTGATTCAAAGAAGATTCAGCGTTTCAATGAGGTTCTTATTTACAATGAAAAAAGTAAGACACAGTGGTGTACTTTTCTATTGACAAAAGTGGAATAAAGGATTGTGAGCGATAATTGAAGTCCTGTCACCCTCTGACTTTTAAATAGACTCGTTTTTTGTAAACTCTCTTAATAGTTTATACACGAACTTTTAATTGACAATTACATTTTTCCCTTAATAAATTGATTATAAATAAAAAAAAAAAGGTAAGAACTCCCTCCGTCAAAATTCACCTTAGGTGGATTATGTTATTTATTTTAGGCCCCATTCGATGATATGCCTCTTTAAGTATTTATGAAGTTTTACATCTCTGAATTTCCTCCTGTTACAAGTAAATAATACCTTTGTTTTATTTTCTATGGTCATAACAGTTTATGGCAATGACATGGCCATAGAAGATTAAAGCAAGAAAGAACTAGTATTATTTTAAGGAAACAATAAGCTTAGGTGCATGTAGCTATTCTAAGTAATTGTTTTGTCATATTGCATGTATAGCTCTTCAATTGTTTCGTTTTTTTATACATCATCGGCTTTTGAATATTTGGCTTTGAGCGTTCCTGATTTAGGCAAATCAAGAAATTCTTTGGACGCATGGTATCATTTAAATTTTTTTTATTCTTTGTCAATCGTGACATAAACTACGAGGGATGTGTGTACAATAAAAGTAATGGGGCAAATATTTCGTTTAAAATGAACAAAGTATGGTATTCTGATCTAGAACACCTTTCACAGTGAGAAAATCCGAAAAAGCATTTTGCAGATCAATTACTATTTGTTTTGGTAATTAGTTGTCAATGAGATATTATGTCGAACAATCCGAGGAAGTCTCCATTCAGTACTTGTAAAATTATTGTCCCTAAACATTTTATAAACAGTAACATTTGATAAATATTGTTATAAAAGAAATGTTGAATTGGTGTTGTTTATTTGTATTTAAATCTTGTATATAAAGTCTTATGTAGACGAAACGCGCGTCTGGCGTATTAAATTATAATCCTGGTACCTTTGATAACTATTATAAGTGCAAAACAAAATCGCTTATCATTATCAAAACTGTGAGTCTTCTAACTATACACTTATGTGTACAAAGTTAAAAATTTCAAACACAAAATAAAATTTGGATACTAAACATAGATTTAAAACCTGTTTTTTTTACCATGTTTTTAAATGGTCAAAGAACGCATCGATATAAACCCCATATCTTTGATGAGTTTTTTTTTTATCTAATCGTTTTTTAATGTCAAAAATAGATTGCAATCCTTCAAAAGCTGAAAGCTTCGAAGACCTTTAATTACACATAATCGGGGTTAACAGATTGTTTAAAATCAAATAACTTCATTTATTATGCACTTCTAAATCCCGAAGGCTTGATGGTATATTGAACAAACAGTAATATAAAAATAATAAAAGATAATTATATTTTGCTTTAATTCCAACTCCTTCATATTTTTCAAACCTCAGATTGTTTATACTGGTCATTTAAAGAAAAGAAACAAGGCTTTGCATTTTCCATACATAAAATTATTGAATACACGATACATCATTTGGTGGCTGGTGGATATGTCGCATTGGCATTTTTTTCTTATTTTATACATATTGAAGTGCACGCAACATCGTTGAATAACTATCTATTGCATTATATAATTTATAAATCTTGTCTTATTTTAAACGGTTATACAAATCTAGATACAGCCCTAAAAATCAGTGAATTCTGAGAAGTCTGAAAATAAATTTGTCCAAAAAATTAAAAGAAGTCAGAATTTATCGACGTTACTGTTATCTGTTTTGTTCTTTTTGGTTTGATCAGATCTACAACGTTTGTATACAATCTTCGATGGTTAAATATACATGCTCAAGCATCACTAAAGAGACATCAATTGTCGAAACGCGCATCTTCTGCATTACAATTGGTACCGTTTATGCAATTCGTACTAACTTGCACATGATTTGACAGAGTTTGTGGGATACGCTTATGCTGTTTATTTCGTGTGACATATTACAGGTACATGTAACACAATAAAAAAAAAATAAGGAATAGAATCGACATGATTTATCAGTTATCAAATAGTCGATGATATAACTGCCATGTGAACGAAAGGTGTAGCGTAAAAACACAGACATGTCATTAAAGGACTTAAGCAACGACACAATTGGACAAATACTTGAGTGGCAAAAGGGCCACCCCAACATCACTCTTAACAACCCTTGATAATTTGATTAAACTTGCTATAACAGTTAAAAAAATAGATAAGATAAACCATAAACTCCTGTATTATTACACTGAAGTAAGATAACTCGTGATGATATCAAGCGATATCATATTTTATCAATTTGTTTTATTATCTCTCTGTTGCAGTCGGACATAGTTTGGATTCCTAGTCAAAGCCCAGTTATTATAGATCGACATATTAGTATAAGACCTTTGGTAACATTGACAATACAAGCAGGAGTTTCTGTCATCTTCAGGTCAACAGACGCTGGCATTGACGTTTATGGTAGATATACAATTACTTTATCACACAATTATATTATATTTTTGGTGTTTCTGTTTCCTTTTTTGCAACATTATGAAAGAGAAATTTGTATATTATGCAGTCATTATTGAATCAGTTGATCAAGTCAACATGACTATGCACATAGCAGAATTGTTGTTGAGAACGCATTTCTCTTTAGGTTGACAAAAATGTAAAAACACGATTTTTTTTCAAAAAATGTTATTTCCCAAGACCTTTTTAAGAAGTCCTACACAATGACCCTTAAAGTCAGGCCACATGTCCTATATATATATATATATATGGAAGCTTTTAACGACCTTGATTGGCTATACAGCACATTTCTTAGTCAAATTGAGCAAACGATATTAGATCATTCAGCACTTAGGTCTATGTCTTTATTTTACGTCAACTATGCCCAGATGAATATGAAAATAAAGATGAGGATTTATTCATTAATTCTTTAATCTGATTTAACGGAAGAGAAGCGGAAAAAAGTTTGTAAAAAATAAACGGTATTAATATTACAAAATAGACTTGTTCATGGAACATGCAATTTATACGAGTACATGCCATGTTTATCTGTGTATATAAACTATACATAAAAAATACAAGATACACATTTTCTATATATCAGAAATATAAGAAGAAGTCACCAGAAAGTATAGTAGTTAAGTATGACGTCAATTGTCACTGAACTAGTACACGTTTTTTGTTTAGGGGCCAGCTGAAGTCCACCTCCGGGTGTAGGATTTTCTCGATGTGTTGAAGACACATTGGTGTCCTTCTGCTGTCTTTTTGACACATTCCCAATTTCAATTCTCTATTCTATTTGCTGAATATATTTTCTGGTGAAATTAGGACAGTAGCTCGATGAATCGTAATTAAAACTGGAATTATTTGAGCTTTCTGACGATAAGTTTGTTTTATTTTGTTCGTTCAAATAAAAACTTCCCGAATATCAATATACGAGCATCATACTGCGAAGAACAGTGTACAATTGTCGCCATTTGTTACTAATGATTTCCTGTAACCATTTTTTATCACCTGCACTGTACAATATTTTTTAATAAGTCTTTTCCGTCCGTCCGTCAAGACTTTGAAAAGAACTTTAAAATGTCTGGAACTTTCAGCACCAAATATCTAAATCGTTTGAAAATCCCCATCTAAATGTTGTCTGTTTGTTGTTATAGAACTTTAACCATACAATTTATGGATTAAGGCGCTAACTCCAAAATTATTTGCACCTATTTTAACATTTAAACTACTGTAAGGATTGATAATATAAGTACCCTTTTAAGACTAACTTTGGCGAAAATACGGATTTGTTCGATTCAAGTTTGCTGTTATAAAATTTTGAAATCATTGTTGATTAAGGAGTAGAAATCTGCCTCGTGCAAAGCTTAGTTGTCAATGTAAACCATTCATGTTACAGAACCTTTTGGATAGTAAGTTGCTGCCAAGGTTCTACTTTAGCCATTATTTCCAAAAAATACTTAAAAAGGAAGATGGGATATGATTGCCAACGAGAAAACTCTTCACAAGAGACCAAATGACACAGAAATGAACTAAGTAAAGGCAACAGTAGTATACCGCTGTTCGAAAACTCATAAATCGATAGAGATAAAAACAAATCCGGGTTACAAACTAAAACTGAAGGAAACGCATCAAATATAAGAGGAGAACAACGACACAACAAAAACACAACATTAAAATGTAACACACACAGAAACGAACTATAATATAACAATGGCCATTTTCCTGACTTGGTACATGACATTTTAAGAAAAATATGATGGGTTGAACCTGGTTTTGTGGCATGCCAAACCTCCCGCTTTTATGGCAATGTTAGATATAACATTTAAATGACAACATTACATGACATGACTACAATACAAATAAATGGGAAAACATATAGGACAAAGAAACACACGAATAATAGCTAACAAAAGGTACTAGGTTTAGAATTTAATACGCAAGACGTGCGTCTCGTCCACACAAGACTAAACCAGTGACGCTCAGATGAAAAAAGTTTGAAAGCCAAAACAAGTACAAAGCTGAAGAGCACCGAGGGCCAAAACTTCAAAAAAGTTGCGCCTAACACGGCCAGGGTTTTCTGCCTGGGACAAGAACATCCTTATTATTTAGAATAATATATACTTTTGCAAACAGTAAATTTTATAAAATGACTATATAATAGATATACATGATAAAACCGAAGTGGGGACTAACTACAGAATAAAAACGGATACATTACATAAAACAACTTTTATAAGAGCATATACTGTTCTATCATGAAGATATTTATTTCATTAATAATGAAGAACTAAACAATTGAAAGGAGAAGGTCCGGTAAGGGCTAGTTTTGGCCTAATATTCGAAGTTCATCTAATGAAAGATTTTTGACATTTTTTAAACACGTAAGTGTCTACTTCAGTCGATTCAATTAGTATATGTAAAAGATTTGGACTGATTGGTTATTAAAGACGCTCAAATGGAGGCTTAAATATGAAAAATTTATCAAATATACCATAAAACGTCACTTTTCAGATGGTTTTTGTCTAAAATGAAAGTGGCCGCATACGTGTTCAGTATCAACCTTTATATATGTTATGTATTATCATCAATTACAACATATATTTAAAATATTTAGACTGAACACAAATGCGGCCACTTCCATTTTAGACAAAAACCGCCTTAAAATTAGCACAAATGCTAAAATTGTGAAGATTTCATTAATATTGCATGAATTTATGATGCTATTACCTGATGCATGTGCATTGAATTGTCAAAATCAGCCCATATTTATGGAACAGAAGTATTCTTCTTTCCAATATATAGCTAAAAGCTTACGGTTTTAACAAATTTGTAAAAATTCTATATTTTGTGGCCAAAAAGGGGTCTTGCCGGGCCTATTTTGCCAAAAGCAACCTTGTTCTATTTTGAAAGTTGTTTGGAATAGCTTTATACTGATGTTTGTCTTTTGATCTTTTTTCGTTTTGCTTTTCTTTTTAAATGGGTGTAAAATATCATGCGACAGACATCATATTCTTTCATTCAAACTCGAAAGTTGAAAACTGACAACTGACATGTACAAAACCAAAATACAAACACAGTATTCAAAAGACAACATTAAAACAAGTAAGACTTAGAATGAAATTGAGAATGGAAATGGGAATATGTCAAAGAGACAACAACCCGACCAAAGAGCAGACAACAGCCGAAGGCCACTAATGGGTCTTCATCGCAGCTCCCGGAGGTGGTCCTCAGCTGGCCCCTAAATAAAATTGTGTACTAGTTCAGTGAAAATAGAAGCACAAACCCCATCAAAAATCGAGGGTAATCTAAAATGATCAAGAGGGTTATGCAGATCACTGCTTCAATAAACTACTCATTTTAAATCAGGAACAGAGTATATATATGATATATTTTATCTTATTTCATTTTATTTTACACACATATTCATACAATTTTATTCAAAAGGAACACTCAGAGTTAATGGGATAGAAGCTGTTGAAACCATATTTACATCATCGTTTCCTGTTACATCAAAGAAAGGACTGTGGAAAGGTATATTCCACCAACCTAGAGGTAATTGCATAAAAATATATACTAGAAGATATAAGAAGATGTGGCATGAGTGTCAATGAGGCAACTCTCCATCCAAGTCACAATTTGTAAAAGTAAACCATTATAGTTCAAAATATGGTATTTAACACGGAGCCTTGGTTCACACCAAACAGTAAGATATAAAGGGCCCAAAAAATGACTAGTGTTAAACCATTCAAACGTGAAAACTAACGGTCTAATTTATATACAAAACGAGAAACGAGAAAAACAATTATGAACCACATTAACAAACGACAACCACTGAAAATCAGGCTTCTGACTTAGTACTGGTGCAAACAATATATGTTCCTTTTATTTGACAACTTTTTGTTCAAGATTTAAGTTATACCTCTAGCTTTCAAATGTTTATATTTGAGGGTTTTTGGTGAAAATAATCAACAAAAGCTCATCGAGCGCTCAAGAAAGTCATAGGGCTCATTATCTGTCGAATTCATGTTTAGCGTTTGGAATCAAATCCTCATATTTGATTTATACCATATTAAAACGTATTTTCAAATTACAAAAAATATAAAATAAATTAACGATGCATGATATATACCTTATAGTGGGTTATTTTCGCGGGTGTAAAATTTTGCGATTTTCATTTAATAAGGTATACGAAATATTTTGGCGGTTATTGTTTTGGCGGATTCAATATTTTTATCAATACCTTTGCATGTGCACTTTTAAATTGGCGGAATTTATTTCAGCGATTTTGTTCTATCATGTGTGGTTTAGTGTGGAAACAATATGATTAACCATAGAGTTGACCTCCTAGGAATGCCGACGGTCATATAAGACCATACAAACATAATAAAAGATACAAATTGATAGGTAATACGTGTAAATGGACTTTCAAATAGTCTCATTATAATGTTAAATTTACAATTAATCCAAAACAGAAGTAGTCAGTAAATAAAGTAAATATTTGTCCGATCAGCATTTTTTTGGACATCAAAATTCAATACGATCCTTTTAAAGTCAATTTCGTCCACCTAACAAAATCTTAATATACAACTTATAAAACAAATTATTTACCAACTGTTAAGGGATAGTTAAATAAAGAAATGAGAACACATGAAAAAAAAAAAAGAAATGCCGTGGCTCTTTCATTTCCCTTATCTGTCATGCTTTACATGTGCTCTGTTTATTTAACTGTTTATCAACGTCACGACCCGTTTAACGTCGGCAACTTACTCCAAAGTTAATAAGTTGCGATCAACAACTACTGAATGACATATTATTATATAATTAGCCGATAATACGATAAACGGGCATGCAATAATTTGTTTAGTATATATGCATGCATTATTTCAATAATTTCGATATATATTATTAAAAATTTCAAGAAACTCGTTTCATATGACTTGAACATTATATAAACGAACTTTAAGGTGCATAGTAAATGAAATAAGGCTTACAAATTTGACAATTTTGTCCTGGATCTAAAATAGATTCTGGATTTCATCAGGAATGCTGTAACTCAAAAGTTTAAATCAAAGAATGTATATTAAAAAGTAAATATAAAAATAAGAAGGCTTGGTTAGATTGCCAATGAGACTACTCCCCATCAACGGTTAACTTTGTTCTTACTTTACACCTTCAGATTAATGGAAATACCCTTATGAAAAAAATGCAATTTGAATAGTTAAAAAGCAGATTTGTTGATAAGTTCATGTTATTCGTGTGCTCTAGATAACATACCCTTCTTACACACTCTATTCATGGGTGTAACTGAAATGAAGCATATATTCATAATTCTATTTTTAATCTTTTTTGGTTATAAAACTGGTATTGCAACTTTCACAGGCAAAATTTAAAACAGACGTCTTTCAATTGGCTGATTGCTTTATGCTTTAATTGTCATACACTCTTGTAAAAAAGAGGCAGCAAACTGACAATGTTATGGCAAAAAACGAAAAAACGAAAAATCGGCACACGAAACATAACAATAAAAACTAAAGACTGAGCAACACGAACTGACTTACGCATTTAACTTCCAAACATTAATCTCGAACGTACCCGAGAAAATCTATTAAATTACAGAATCGCTCACCACGTTCAACTTAATTGAGTTTGTTTTGTGTTTAGCTGCTATTATAAAAGGAGGAACAGGATGATACGAAATAAGACATCACAAAACGACATCTGTAAAATTTATTTTATTAATCATTATACTAGTTTGGCTTCTGTTAGTCTGTCCTCGATATTGATATAGATTGTCGACTTCGAAATGACCACCGTTTTGATTTCAACTTTCCAATGGATACCTTCTAATTTCCCAGCTGTAACATAGTTTCTGCACTATCGTATGGTGGGTTCTATCTCAGTTAATGTGTTGCGCTCATACATTTTCATAATGTATATATTACTTAATTAACACAAAAGTCGCTGCAATAGAGGTTCGAGGTAGGAAGATTGAGATAGACACCTCATAAGTGTTAGTGTGACTATCTAGAATTGCATGGCCGAAACACAATGACTGATTCTGATCGCATTAGCAGATATTGAGATTTACTGATCAATATTACAATATCAGTTTAATACCAAAATTGTTTTGATACGCCATTCGCTTATTCGATTATTCGGAACACTGATTTCTGAAATATTGGTCTTGTGAAGTTAAACATCTATTAATTTGATTTAATCTTTTATTCTTAAAGAAAGCAACTACCGAATTAAAGGTAGGTGATTCTCCTTGGGCATTCCGGCTTCTTTCACTTCACCAATAAATACTGACCGCCATGAAATAGCAGAATAATGATGAGAGTGGCGTTAAACATCAATCAATTAATCAATTATCAAGACATGATAACCAAACAGTATACATTGTACAATGTTGTACCTTGTACATACTACAAATGGCAATTGAATAGTATGACCAAGTTAGATAACAACAATAATTTTTTCTCTAATTGAAACTTCATTTTTTTTAGGCAACATTAGTTTGTGGTATGCTGTCGTCCGCCAAGCAACCATTGGTATCCAAGGTGACAGTATTGGAATACATTTAGGTCACAGTAACATATATTCTTGCGAAACAGGAATACAGCTATCTGGAGGAACCACAAGTAACGCCACAAGTGAACACAAAATATCTGTTTCTACATTTACAATATTGCACACAAGAAGTATTCATAACCAATACGGCATCCGATTACACGGTACTGCTCAACGGGCTTATATCTACATAGATCATTCGGAATTCAGTTTCAACAACAAGCACGGTTTGGTCATCGAAAATTGGAATGATGAGTCATCCACTGACACAGTATTGCACCTGTATAATTCTAAATTAAATGATAATTATAAAAGCGGTCTTCTTTCTTCTCCTTTATATCAAAAACACATACTTGTGATAGAAAATTCGTATTTTTCTAGAAACGGAGAAAACGGCTTGTACTTGTATAGCGGTTTTTATGAACCAACAGCAATCTTTGATATCTCGTATTCACATTTTGAAGAAAATGGGTACAATGGTGTAGAATACAAATACACATGTTATTATTGCGGCGGTAATTTAAACAATAGTCTACGTCATAATCATATAATACATAACAGACAATTTCAAATAGTTTTTTCATTTTCTAATCGTGATGATAAACCTGTTATGATGAATTTCTTATTGACAAATAATACGATTAAAAAGCATTCGTATTATGAGAGATATGCTGTCTCAATCAGTGCAAACCGTCTAATTGGAGTGTTTGAAATCGTTTATAATACTTTTTCCGATTTGCACGGTGGGTTTGGAATAAACTCTGGTCCAGATTCGTCAGTACAGGTGAATATGAGGAATAATATCTTTGAAAATATCTATGGTAAAAAAATGGCCGTCCTCTACATTTCAAATACAAGATTAAAATTTCTGGAGAACATAATTTCAAATTGTTCGGTAAATAACCTGGTAGACCTTGTTGACGGTTTATCTCATCAGATTAACAATAACAGTTTCAACAACAATTTAGTGACATATTGTATGGTAAGGGTCGGTGAAGAATATAACAAGATAAAGTCTATCAATGCAGACTACAACTATTGGGGAACAGACAATTTATCGTTAGTGAAAGCGTGCATTTGTGATGTTTTTCTCAACTCTTCGAAAGCGCGGGTTCTTACAGATCACGTGTTTCTTGATCCATCGATGACGTCTGCGCAACATATTTCCACAGTTGATGATTTCCAGATTACGTTTGATACAGATTTTAATGCATATGTAATAGGCGGTGTTATAAAGTCATCTAGTAGTCTGCCTACGTTTGAGTCGGATATTGTCATTGTCAATCGCACAGTCGTCATTGGTTATTCAGCAGACGTTCACCTATTTGGTATAACATTTAATTTCACAGCCAATAGAGGAATTATTGTGTTAGGTATGTTATGGTTTATTAAGTATAGACATATGGTTGTTGTTTGTGATGTTTGTTGATTTAATTTGAAGCAATGGATTTCGAGCAGATATTTCAGATTGGTAAGATGTTACCAACAACAAAGTTAGAAACGTAAGACGGATAAAAATATAATGAAAAAAATAAATAAAAATGCAGTTTTATTTTTTATTTTTTTTAAAAACTTTGTTTTGTGAAACACTTCAGTTACGTGAATGATCTTGAAAAAAATACCCCATGATACCTGAAACGTGATTAAAAGCCTTTTCAATAATGTAATCCATTTTGTTATTAGGATAATCAATTGGTATACTATACAAGCTATATATTGTAAATCATTTTGACATTTTTTAGAAAGTAAAGTTAATTGTCCATCTCTTATATTTTGACTTTTAAAAGTCTGGAAGACATTTCTGATAAGCTAGATAAAAACTGTACGGCTTGCTTAATACAAATGATTTTTCTGGTAGCAAAAAAGCAATCGACATCGAGTCACAACTTAGTTACAATAATGAATATTAATATATCAAAAAGGAAAACTAAAACGAAAATAAAAAAGAAAAACTGAATTAGGTTAAAAACAAGCCGCATCAAATAAAAAGAAATCGAGTAAATCACACCCGGATATTGAAAAAGAAAACAACTATATTTAAACATTGTTAAAAGAGATGAAAAGACTCTTAACTATGCTATCGTAATAGTAAAGAGTCATGTCTAGCAACGTCAATTGTTTTAAATATCGCTCGCGTATCAATTCAAAAAGTAAAGACATAGATAAGCAGTTTCTCTCAGATTATATCATAAACATATTTCAATGTTTTGATATTAATTTTCCATGATTTGTCAGAATAATGTGAAATATAATTTATAGATTAATAAATAAGATTAAAAGCAAATGCACAAATTTTCATTCGAACCGTGTTTTTGAAAAATGGTCATCAGAGAGGCTTCGTGGCAGAGCGATATCATCATTCATTTCAATGTGTATCGTATACAGTCTATATCATTTTGTTCATACTGTGTATTAGTAAGTCTTCAAAGTTGAAAAAAGAATGCTGGCTAGATGATATTGGAAGGCATAACCAACTAGCAAGTAGTGGTATGAATCAATTTTAAATCTGCAGCTTATTTGAGTCGAAAATGAACATATATTTCTCTATACTTCAAACATGAATTTTATTTTAACATGACTTGTTTAAGTTAAACCGATATGTTACATTTAGATTAAGTATACAACAGTGTTAATAAGTCAAGAAGCATGTATTTTAACGATATAAAAGTTTGTATTATGATATATCTTTTTAGGAAATCTTCGCCTAGGTAAAACCTTGAATCGAACGATTGTGCAAGCACAAAATGAGGAGCACCGATGGAGCGGAATACATCTTTTTAATGAAGGTTTGAGATACCTATAAGTAAAAATTAACCTGTCAGCCAGAATTCATAAATTGAATCATTTATTTCTCGACTTTCTTAAATTATAATGAAAAACCTGGGTTAGTCACTGGCATTAAAAGGCTAGCATTTTATCCGTTTCTTCAATTTTATAAAATTTCACTTCTTCCATAAGGATAATTTCGAAAACTTTTCCAACAAATTTAGTGATCTTTGGAAAATACCTTTCGTAAGGTAGATCATATAACTAATATGTAGGAGGGAAACACAATTATAAGCAAATATTAACAAAAAGAAAAAAAAAAAACAGTAGATGTCAGAAACTGAAACAATTATCGAAAATAACTTGATACACTGCCGTATTCTGACCTTTTGTTATTTAATATCAAGTTCATTAGAAGTTAAAAGCAAACTTAAAATAAAGGATTGTAGATAGTGAAAAAAGTTGTTTATTTAATATTTAACAATCGAAATCCATTAAATCAACAAAATAGGTAGGGCAGAGGTAGTGATGTGTCAGTGCATCTTTGTATTTTTTTAGATAATGATTTGTCCTATCAATATTATCCGATTGTTTCCGTGGGGTGTCAGTCTCTCTTCAAATTTGAGTTTTCATGTCCCTTCTGTATCATCAGTCTCTTTTTAACCAGGACATTTCATTTTCATTGATTGTACAATATATAGAATTTTTCATGGCTTTCGATATTGGACATATTTAAACCTGGTGAAAGATAGGTAAATTTGTATATTTATTCCTTCCTCAAAGAAGCATATGAAACACACATTTTATATAATCCTTGTACTGGTTATTCTAAAAGTGTCAAAGAGCAGTAAACGACATGACGAATTATAATGCTATTTTTAGGTAGGAGATTATTTTCGTTGGATAAAATGAACTGTCAAATCTCAAATTAACATGTCGTACAAAGGAGTAAGCCGCCATATTGAATTGCTTGGATCGACAAACATTTAATTACTACAATTTAATAAATTAGAGACCAAAACCTATAATTCAAAACATGTATCGTTTTAAATACTATGTCACGCACACCGATTTATCTCTAATATGACTAATATGAAACATATATTACTCATTATATCTAGAATTAAAGCTGTCCAACGTCTTTATGAAAGACAGTGATATCAGTTTGTATGTTCACAATGGAGCTTCAAATATTGACGTTTCAAATGTGTCTGTGGTTCAGACGGAAGGATTTATCACGGCAATCAATTTTATTGGGAATCTTGAATTGAATCTTAATGACAGTATTATCAGTACAAACAACATCGTAGCTAATATTGAAATCAACAAAACGGAAACGTTATATATCAACTTTGATAATACTGCACTTTACAGTTCAACGGGAAAATTATTAAGTTTAAGCGAGACAGTCTCCACAGCAAACGTGACTGCTATTTATATAAATGCAAACAACTCAATGTTCACTACATCAAGCGAAAACATTTTTGAAATAAACACTTGCTCAAGTCAGATACACAGCAAATTAATGTCATCGACATTTTCTATAGAAAATGGTGGCAAAACAATTTTCACTTGCAAAGCCATGTCAGTAGATTTAGCAGGAATACGAAATACATATGAAAACAGTGATAAAGGATTTTTTATATCATTCTGTGACAAACAAGAAAATAAACAAGATTTTGATGTTGGGTTGCACCTAACTAACAATAGATTTGAAAATATAGATTCAACAGCAATTGAAACACATGGTCAATTGAAAGACATAGTGATACAGAACAACTATTTCGTTAGTAATGGTGCATGTATAAAACTTGCAATAACAGAGTTTGATTTTAACAGTTTATCAATATCTCAAAATCTATTCTCTAATAATACAGCAGATGGAATCGTGAAGCTGTTACAGCCTCGTTCTGATAATTCAACCATCACCATGACACAGAATGTATTTGAAAACAACAAAGGCATTGTTTTGTCTGTTACCTCACCGTATATTGATATATATCAAAATTTCTTTGAAAACAAAGATGCTGCATACAATTTAAAAGTCGAAAGAGACACACGTAGTTACACGGGAAATGTATTAAATGCATCTCAAAATTACTGGGGTACAACTGACGTAAATGGTATCGAAAAACGAGTCTATGATAACAGCTACGATAACACATTATTTAAAGTTACCTTCAGGCCATATCTAGGATCCAAAAACTATTCAGATATTCAAAACGAAGAAGCAGCATTTATAAGTTCTTCTGGTGATATTGGTGGAATTGTGAGTGCGAATTTGACACTTACTAAAGGAGGCAGTCCATATGTTGTAGTTTCTAATATTGTTGTAAACGAGAATGCTGTTTTAAGTTTGGAAGCTGGTGTTGTGCTGCTATTTAAGGAAGATCTCGGCATAACGGTCTACGGTGAGTATTCAAATGTGGTCTGATAAAACGGTATTTTGTTATAGTTTAATTCCATTTTATTTTTATAAATAGCACTACAAGAAAGCTGAGCGTCGAACAACAAAAAAAATTGTCTCAATACTTCGTCCTTGTGTAGTCTTCTTTGGCGATGGATTACAATAAATACATGGAGAATGATTGTATCGTTTGTCATATATGTCTAACACTTAAAAGACGTCAGTTTACCAACAATTTGCGGCATCACATGAGTAATGTCTAAATAAAATATCAAATCAAATTTTTTTTTTAATTTCTTATCGGTAATACACATTTGAATTCTAAAAGTTAAGTTACCAAATAAAGTGAGGGAAAGGTCAAATGTTAAAACAATATCGAGCTCCAAAGAAAAGTAATTGGAAAGTCGGTTAAAAGAAAAAAACAACAACTGTTTTCAAAGTATTCACATGTTTAACCCCGCCGCTTTTTTACGCCTGTCCCAAGTCAGGAGCCTCTGGCCTTTGTTAGTCTTGTTTAATTTTAGTTTCTTGTGTATATTTCGGAGTTAGTTTGACGTCCATTATCACTGAAATAGTATACATTTTTGTTTAGGGGCCAGCTGAAGCACACCTCTTGGTGCGGGAGTTTCTCGCTGCAATGAAGACCCATTGGTGGCCTTCGGCTGTTGTCTGCTCTTTGGTCGGGTTTTTGTATCTTTGACACATTCCCTATTTCCATTCTCAATTTTACAAAACAAATAAGGATTGAACACAAACAACTGCATCAGAAATTATGGATGTATTGTAAGCATGAACATAAGTCTGTCTATATCTTGAATATTATCAACTTTTTATGAACTCTTTTACGTTCAAAAGTACATGTGCTGTGATCCGTAAACTTTGGGTCCAAATCTTTATTTGTTATGCAAGGTTACAATGTTTCTAACAACATGTGTATCAAAGTTCAATTTGATGTGACTAATGCTTCAAACACTGCCTTAACAAAAACCTTCAAGAAGAGATTGTATTTCGAAGTATCACATTCCTGTGTTAAAAACTATGAAATGGGATCAAAACATCTATTTGGCATCTACGTTTCAAGTTAATGTGGCCATGGCTTCTTCTCAAACTAAATCAATCAATCATTTAAACCTGATACAGAACTCACACGGACGCACGCACGCATAAACTAGAAAACAGTATGCCCCTTACCTATAGGTTGCACTTTGTAAATACAGCTGTTTCTCAAACCACGCCTCTTTTGGGGAGATATATAATATTCATATATATGTTAATTTGTTAATGTACTGATTCCCATTTATGATCTCTGTGTTTCATCTCATAGAGACATCACTTGGGAATGTAACCAGTATAGAAAAACATGGTAGCGCCTAAATTTTAATTCTTAGGAGGTCCAAATATGAAGGTGAGGGTAGTATAGAATTTTAGTATAAATTTAAACTCTTAGAAGTTCAGGGCACATAAATGTTGAAAATATGCCGCACAGCCCTATATTTTGACCTTTGAATAAAATAGTAGTGCATATAAACTTTCCGTTCTGGGATAATATTTCTCACGAAACTTCATAGTAAAAGTGTCACAGTTTTAGCCGCAAAGGGAGTTCCTATGGGAAATTGCATTGTCTATATTTACAGAATTGCAACCTATATAGGGTTAAAAAATAGAACATACTGAATTTCACAAAATCTGGTTTATCGCAGAGATTTTAAAGAATTTAACTCAAATATGAAGTTTTATAAATATTTCATGAAGATTGAGAAAATCCTGAGCCTTAACTATGATGACTCAGCATAAATTCACAGTTTACAGTATGCAAGGTTTACTTAACGCCCTGAATTCAAAATAAATTCATAATATATGCCTATTTGTGATTTAAATTGTTTAGAAGTGCTTATATTTACTATTCGCAGTCATTGGAACTCATTGATCCTTCCTTAATAATTTTGTTGGGTTATTTTTGTCCTGTCGATAACCCAAAAGTAAGCCGTAACACCTAAATGTGTTTTTTTGTGACCGCGGCATTAAAAAGTACAAGCTAGAATTACAAAAAGACCTCAGTAAAACTTACAATAGTGTGTTCTATCCTAAATATATACTAAATATTCCACACTGCTAGAAACAGGGAAAATATTTAGGAAATGTGAGGCCCCAGGGGGCAAAAAACAGAAAAAAATGCCTACCCTGGGTCATAAAACATAATTTAACTTGTAAATCCTATGATTTTATTATTTTCAAGGTCTTTTGTAAACAAAACAATAACTGTGCTGGAAAGTAATGCAAAAATATGATGTAAGCAGTCATTTCTATCAAACTTTTAGTGAATTTATGCACCAGACTGATATCTTCTTAAATACAACTTTGCAAATATGGCTTTGTTTAGACACTTCTAGTTCATATATTAACTAACTTATGTTAGTTATATGGTTAGAGATGATACTGTTGTGACAAGAATTCTTAACTTACCATTTGAGACAGAAATTGTGAACTTTCATTGACAAATAGGCATACAGTAAGATGTGGACTGGAGCCACAGGCAGGCTTGGATACTTTGTATAATCTTGAATGTTGGAATGATTAACTACTAAACAATACATTTATAGTATTCTAAAATGCGTTAAATTTGTTATCAGAATAGTTTCAAACATGTTTTAGACATTTCATGTCAGAAAACATGCACATAGGGTAAGCTGGCAATGATTAAAGTCTTGTTTTCAAATTCTTTAAAAAATTGAAACAGGGGTAGGGGTATAAAATGTACTGTAAAAGGAAACTTAGAGTATATGCAGTGATTTCCTTAAGGCTATAATTCTGATAAATAAGTATTGTTGTGAGAAAAAGTGTTTTTAGAAGGTTTTCTATTTGAATAAATGTTTGTATAGGTTGCACTTTGTAAATACAGCTGTTTCTCAAACCACGCCTCTTTTGGGGAGATATATAATATTCATAGATATGTTAATTTGTTAATGTACTGGTTCCCATTTATGATCTCTGTGTTTCATCTCATAGAGACATCACTTGGGAATGTAACCAGTATAGAAAAACATGGTAGCGCCTAAATTTTAATTGTTAGGAGGTCCAAATATGAAGGTAAGGGTAGTATAGAATTTTAGTATAAATTTAAACTCTTAGAAGTTCAGGGCACATAAATGTTGAAAATATGCCGCACAGCCCTATATTTTGACCTTTGAATAAAATAGTAGTGCATATAAACTTTCCGTTCTGGGATAATATTTTTCACGAAACTTCATAGTAAAAGTGTCACAGTTTTAGCCGCAAAGGGAGTTCCTATGGGAAATTGCATTGTCTATATTTACAGAATTGCAACCTATAGCAGGCTGTGCATCATAGCAATTATGACATACAGAAACTAACAACAACCACTCGAATTTAGGCTCCTGGTTGTTATAATCTGTTTTTTGTAGGAACTTTTAATGTTTTTGGATCGACAGATGAGTTGATTCAGATGAAACCGGAAGCAAGCGAAAAACCGTGGAGAGGACTAGATATCAAATCAAACAGAGGTAAACAGTTTTAATTTGCATTGCTATACGACGTGTCTCGGTACTTTGTACATCGAACTTTTTATATTTATTTTTTATGTTTCTATTAAAGTTTCGTTTGGATAAAGTGTTCTGTCTTATCTTTGTAGTCCAAATAATTATTATTGCTTTCAATACCATCATTGTCATGACATTTGTTTGAACAAGTATTGGGAGTATAATTGTATAAAGTTCGAGATAGCATTTAAGTTACGTGATCGCGTCACTGTGTGAGATATGATGTCGGTCGTTGATCGAATATGTTCGTCGTTATTCTGCGGTTTGCATGTTGTGTAGACTATTATATTATTTTTTTGTGCGTTATTCTGTGATGAATGTTCTTGCGTGAGTTTGTGCTGTATTTTCAACACTTAGTGTTGTCATTTAAGCGATTTGTTTTAACATTTTCATTAAGCGGGAGTTTTGGCTAGCCATAACATCAGGTTCAACCCACCATTTGTTTCTTAAAATGTCCAGTTATCAAATAGTTCTTTTTCATGATTGTTGGCGTTTGTTTTTGTTGCACTCTTATGTTCATGTTTTTCTTTTGTTTTCCCCTTATAGTTGATGTATTTCCCTCGGTTTTATTTTGTTACCCGATTTTGTTTTTCTCTCAATCGATTTATAAGTTTTGAACACAGGTGTATTACTTTTGCCTTTATCTAAAATACGTGTATTGTGAAGGACATCATGATCACTCTAGTTTTTTGAAAAAGTTGGCATGGATGTTTCGCAAACGTTTTACTATCATTGAATGATCAAATATGCATGGTGTTTGTAAAGTAAAAGTGACTTTTAGATTTTACAAACATTTTTGTGTAGCTTTTTGCGTATGTAATTCCTTTACGTAATTTGTTGATATCAATTTGAGTGCTTATTTCAATATTGAATGTAGAATGATAAGCAAGATTTTAGAAGTCTATTACTTCGCGGGTTCACTTTGGCCTGCGATTTAAAAATCCTTCTTCTGTGTACTCGGAGGTTTCGTTGAACCCCTAGAATTCCGCGATACTTAACATTATCGATGGCATACGAAAATCATTTTACCTGATGACATTAAAAACATATGTTTTATTGTTGTTTTTCCTTTTTATACAATTATTTGTGACATTTACGAATTATGTTATAGATAATGATAACTATTACAATGATTATTGTTTTTTAAAATAGGTAATTTTAAATCAAAGTTGGAATACCTAGCTGTAACAAACACTACATCGGGTATTCATATAAGTAGTATGAACACATACATCCACAATGTAACATCTACATATTCCACCTCAAATGGATTTACCCTTTATGTCAACAGCAATATATCGGAAGTGGCCATTTCTGAGCTAAACGCTTCAAATAATATGAACAGCGGAATTGAAATTGTAACGGAGGGCTTTCAAATGAAAGAAACGGTATTTGAGGTAAAAAAATGTACTGCTAGCAAAAATAAAGAACATGGTATTGTTATCAAAGCGAACGCAAGTGTTGTAATTTCTAAATGTAAAGTTGAAGGGAATACTGAATCTGGAATATATGTTTACCAAGAGTTTGGAGGACGAATTACTATAAGCTCATCAAACATATCCCGAAATGTAAAATATGCTATTAAAGAATACTTCACTGAAGAATTTGTGGTGGATTCTTGTATTATTTCAGACCATACTTACCGTCGATTTTCAATATATTCGTTTTACAGAATATCATATGTATATCTGGAAATAAACGGCAATTCCAAGTTTCAGATTAAAATATTAAATACGGTTTTTAAAGATAATATCAATGATGGAATAGACATTAAGTTCGGTTGTGCTAACTTTGAAAACTGCATGCTTCAGGTGGAAAATAATACATTTATTAACGGGAATCAGACGATGCACATCTATTTCAATTCCTGGTACGAAAATATGGCTTTCGTTAACATTGTCCGAAATTTGTTTGTGAACAATTCGAACACATACGGTGCTCTTTTAGAGTTTCAATTCCAGAATGTTGGTGATGTAAAATTTGAGAAGAACACGTTTGATGGGAATGTCGCAAAAACAACTTTACGTTTTACAGGAAATGTACGACATTCCATCGGAACAATTGCAATACAGAACAATTTTATCCTTGGCGACTGGGCGACTGAATCATTGATTGACATTAACGGCTTCCAGCCAGTAACAGTAACCAATAATCATCTAAGGAACTTAAATTCAGATGTATGCGTTCTAAGAGCACCAACATTTCGAGAGTCATTTGAAATAAATGCTACTTTTAATTACTGGGGTAAAACAATGGCAACGGAAATTGTAGAGATAGTTTGCGGATTCGAAAAAGACATGGATAAAAGTTTTGTCAAATATATTCCGTTTTATACTGATGACAATAGGAATCAATTAGTTTCCTCAACGCAAAACAACTTTGATGTGCAAGGAACATTTGGCGGAGAAATTAGCACAAATTTCACCATTCCAATGATCGCTGGACCCATTATCATATCAAGAGCTTTGTTTGTAAGGTATAAATAGATATAATTGTTATACACATATGTACATCCATGTTCCTTTTTTATAAGTTCTTATTGGTCCTTAACTAGCTTTTAGTAATTGCAATAACTCTCAGATCAGTGCTATTTATATTTAGTTTTTTCTATGTTGTTTTAATGCTTTATATCAATCTGTTGAAGTAAGCCCTTTTCAATTATTCTTATTGCGCTGTTATACCACAATCTCAAGTAAGGGATATAGTTGGGCGCCTGCAAACATTTTTCATCCCGATACATTCTGTGTGTGCCTGTCACAAGTCAGACAGGAGCTTGCAACTCAGTGGTTGTCATTTGTTTAAATATACCATTTTGAATTGCGTTTATCGTTTTGTAAATAAAACAGGCTGTTGAGTTTTTCATTTGAATTATTGTACCTTTTCGGGGCCTTTTATAGCTATTTATGTGGTATGCTCATAGATGTAGAAGGCCGTCGGGCGATCTATCGTTGAACACGTATACGTATACGTCATTTGGTCTATGGTTTAAAATTGTCTTATTGGCAATCATTCCATATCTTTATATTTTCAAGTTACGATCAAATAGAGATCCATTTTCAAAAGTATAAAACTATTTACTGATTGATATCCATTATTATATCGTTTCATTTGCAAATGTCCAGCTTTGGCCATTTTGTAATTTGTTAAATGCATTTTAAATTCGTCAATACATTCAAATCAGAGTTGATTTAAGTCCAGAATTCAATCCCTTTTTCTTCGATTATGATATCAACAGATATTTATTGTCCTTTCACAAGATCGCGAGTTTCATGTATATAGCAAGAACTTATACGTTTCCGAATTATCCGAATCAACACTCAATTTTGTTTTGATAAGATGATGATTGGCTTTTCCTGTGGTTTTTGGTAAGCTTTGTTTATTTTGCAATTTATGTGATGTATCTGTCATGAACAATCTTGTCAGTGCTTAATAAAACATGTTTCCATTTCAAATTTGCTCAAGTTTGATAGTTGGTTAGACCAAAGACAAACACAAATCCGCAATTGTATGATACGTAATCTTAAATCTTTCATCAATTGTGTTTTTTTTTAAATACGCAATACGACTTGTCACTGATGCAACATACATCAGTGAAAGAAGGCCGGTTTTGATGGAAATTGAGCAATCTTTTCTTTATAGCTGAATGTAATTTGCCTTTTATTTTGTCGTGGGTTTTGATTGCACTATTATCTTCATTCGTTTTAGATAGACAAAAAACCGTTTAAAACACATAAATTGCCTGAAATATGTGAAAGGTGCCTTTAAAGCTACAAACTTGAATTATTGATCTCTAATATTATCATGTATGTTATTTATTATCGATTATTTGAAATATGTAGCGTGACAAATATTTAATACTTTAGACCGGGTCATGTTTTGACAATACCAGCTGGTGCAGTCCTGCATTTCAAAGAAAACAGAGGCATATATATTCAAGGTATGTAATAATATATACGTTTTATGTCAGTTTGAATTATTCGGTACAATTATAAAATAGGCATTAAAACATGTCTGCTCTACCGGAGCACTGGGTTTTAAAAAAAAAAATCTGATTTCAATTAAGTTGAGATAACTTATCAATGACATATGATATCTGTTGAAGCTGTGTCCGTATATAAAATGTAAATGATTTATTGTCCTTGTAATATCTGTTCAGTTCACAATTTTCCATTAAATCAAATGTGTTATCATTGTTCTATTATTTTTACGGGAGATGTATGCTAATATATTAGAAGATATGTAGATGAAATATTGAGATTCATTTCAAAATTGAAAGTTTATATATATATAGGAGTATTGAAGATATCTACCAGAATCAGTGAATTTACCACCTTGACCTCTATGAATGATGCTGTGTTTTGGAATGGAATCGTGTTAAAATCTACTAGCGATGGTGAGTAAAATTAACATTTTACTTGAAGAATTCTTTATGATATTTTATTTATATTTAAATTACCAGGTTTGCTTTTTCGATTTCCTTTAATTTTTTTCAGGGAAGATACATTTGTTTTGGCTAATTATTTGTTCATACAAGGTAGACTTTTTGATAAGGATTTGAGGTTTTCATTTTTGTTCATAGAATTTAATAAATTTGTACCAGACAATTTATTTAGTCAATAGAGAATATTTTTGTAAAGTAGGAAACAGATGTTTCTGTTGAGGGTCTATTTATCTACATATAACATGGTAGTTTATTATCTTTATATAACAGTTGTTTTTTACACTAATCGGAGATATATACATCTGAAAAAATGTGATATATTTTTACAAAGTAACCAATTGATTATGTTTAATTTCAAATATAACAGAGAGGCGAAAGATACCAGAGGCACATTTAAACTCATAGATAAAAAAAAACTGACAACGGCATAGCTAAAAAAAACAAAAACAAAAACACATAAGTACACAAGACACAACATAGAAAAGTAAAGAATATTAGCAACAAAAACCCCATCAAAGACGTGGGGTGATCTCAGGGCTTCGGAAGGTTGAGCAAATCCTGATCCACATGTGGCATTCGTCGTGTTGCACATGTTATAACAAACCCGGTAAATACTAGTAATCTAATATGGTAGGTCACATTCGTGGGAAGGGTACAGGATTGTAGTTACGACAATAGGAACATATCCGATATCATATGTAAGTTACAAGGATTGTATGTCAGTTTTTTTGTGGCTTTTACACTTAATACCTTTTTTTTATATATTACTTTGCCAAACAGATAGAAATAGGAAGATGTCGTATAAGTGCCAATGAGACAAATCTACATCCAAGACACAAAATGTAAAAAGAAAAGTATTATAGGTTAAAGCTCGGCCTTCAACACTGAACCTGGGCTCACACCGAACAGCAAAATATTAAAGACCCCCAAATGACTACTTGTGTAAAACAATTCAAAAAGGAAAACCAAAGGTCTAATCTTTAAAAAAAGAGAGAAAGAAGAAATACATATGAACCACATCAACAAACGACAACTGTTTGATTACACTGATTTTCATTAATCATAGAATTTGGTATAACTTTTACCAATTATTGCAATTTATTGATAGTGTACATGATTCTGTATGAAAATAATAATTTTTCGATTTATTTATTTTGTTTAGAATATTCAATCTTTAACAACGTTCACATATCACACACAATGAAAGGTTTTACTGCGATTTCTTACAAGTTTGAAATGAGACGAAGTCAAATAACTAATTCCAGAGCGTCTTGTTTGACAGTGAAACCGGATTATTCTATTATTAACAATTATGATTTTGAAGGGACCAATATAAGTAACTGTAAGGACAATGGTATACTCTTTACAGAAAACGGAATAATAAATGTTTACAATGTAAATATCACAAACGCGTTTATCTGCATCAAGATGGATAAATATTTTGGAGATTTAACTATCAAATCCAGCAATATTACTGATTGTTCAACAGTCGCTTATGTCCGATTCAGAGGATATTGGTCACAGTCTGGTAACATTACTCTTGACAGTTGTCGGATTACAAATTCTTCAAACGGTTTAGAATTTTTCACTCAGAGTAAATGGACGATAAATAGTGTTTATATAAAGAATAATATATTTTCAAACATAACGAACAATGCCTTGTCGATTGAATATACGGCATATAAAACGAGCAAGTACATCGGTCATGTTGATATAGGATTTAATACTTTTTATAATACTTGTCACATAAATTTGAAGACGTGGAACAACGCCAGCCTGACTTTTCATGACAATACAGTTGAATATGGCAGTTGTGAAGGTCTTGGAAAATGTTATCTTGAAGCATATGCAGAGGGACACACAGAGATTAAGGAACGAATTTTCAACATATCTACTAATATATTTAGAAATTTGGTTAGTGACTGCATTGTTGATCTGGTGTCAAGTGAAACTACTGGATTCTTCGAAGGTGTTTTCTACTATAACCAGTTTTTGACCACAGAGACTATTGTTGGAACAGTAATGTTAGACTCGAAATATTTTAATTTTTCCCACAACATATTTGACAATCCAATGTCACCGTATGACATTTACGTAAAAAAAAAAGGTATGTTTAAATGAAAGATGTACAAGACAAAAATGTTTGAATACGGGTGTGCACAAGTAAAGGTATTAAACAGGCAACCATGAAATTTAAAAGAAATATCAAATGGACTAAACAGTTAAACTAAAAGTATATATAGATATAAATATACCTGTCCATATCATCAGCTTAAAAATTGCTCACCTGGACATGAATCGCAAATGACTGTTTAATTCTAATAAGGTGTAACACCACTAATTCGGGCCCGGCCATAAAGCACATACCAGAAATTAGTACATATTTAACACAAAATAGTTCCTACGCATGAGTGTAACTTTCAAAATATGCAGAATATATAGGTATTGTTGGTATCAGATGAAAGCTGAATGACTGGTGATCATTGTAAAACACTTTTTGACTTATAATTTTAAATATTAAAAAAACTGAACCAAATTTTATAAAGAGGTTACTCTTGCCTGTATGTCAGATCTGAAGTACCTGTTTTGGTACATCCGAAGTTCCGGGAACCAGTTCTTTCTTATATGCCATTAAAGGTATGTTGATTTTTCCAGTACAAGACACCACAAAGTGTTGCTTTGACATGCAATGATTGTCACTTTATTTGAACTTGAAACAAAAGAGCTGTGTTGCTTGAAATTGAGGAATTTAACATAGAAAGCAATGGGGCATGAATTAGTGGTGTACTTCCATAAATGTTTTGAAACAAATGAATAGAAATTTTATTGCAATATTGGAACAAAAATGGCCATGATAAATAGTCAAAACAAATTCTAAATGCAAATTATCCTAGTTTACAAATGAAGATGTGACATTAAAGGAGGATTTTCTGCCAAATTAATGTACATCGAATTGACTCAAGCTCTTACAAATGATTTAGAACATCCTACTGTGTAAAAAGGTATATCTGAATAAAAAAAGATCTATAGAAATCAAGATTTAATACATACATTTTGGATAAGGTATCAACATTTGATGAATATTTTAGTAATAGACACAACTAATCACATCGATTTAATCTCTGAAGTTTGATTATTAGCATATGATCCCAATATAAATAAAGATGCATGTGGTAATATATGTAGTACATTTATTTGTTTGCAGGACAAGAATATTTCATCAGCGATGTTGAACATTGTATGTTTATAATTTGAACCACAAAGTAGCTATAAGCCATTCACCCATTTGTTCTGGTAAATGTTTAAAATCTCTGTAACATAATTAATAAGAGCTAAGCTATCACAATGGTAAATGATGCAAAAATAACTTTCTATTCAATAGTAATTTTACTATGTATATAGATAATAACTGTTGTAGGAGCTTCATCTGTAAATGCTTCTAAAAACTGGTGGGGAAATGCCAATACCGATATAGCATACGAAAGAATATTTGATTTTCATCGTGATAGTTCTTTGTTACTGGTTAATATAAGTTCGATTTTGACTGACAGAAACATTGATTGTTCAGGGGTTGATAACTGCAGCTCCAATGGTGAATGTGTGAGTCCAAACAAATGTAGATGCTTCTCTGGTAAGTAGATTGAAACATATTGTAAGTAAAATTCTTCGATGAATGAATCATACCAAACTTACATTTTTAATAAAGTAAAATGTGCTAGAATCAAAATGTAGAAGTGATTCACCAGCTGATTCAGACTCGTTGGTAATACATTTTTATATTTTCCCACTGCATTGACTGTGAAAAGATACAACTACTTTCTAGACGGTCAAATTGCATATTAAAAACACGAGGCTTTCCGAACGATTACAGTACATAAAATATATTGCCAAGAGAGGAGATATACATATTTATACGACATTCGGTTGATGCATCTGTTTCTGTAACATTTTGAAGAACAATCAGTAGGCATACCTTTGATTTCCTTTATCAATGATCTGAATTATGACGTCTACAGTCATGGTCATCTCTTTTCGTTATATAACATATTTATAATAATTTTTTAAATGTTTTGGTATAGTTTATAGTTATATAAAACTCATTTTCGTTTCTACCGTTTAGGATTATCTTTTATTGATTCTATATACATGTTTGAAATTTATCATTTTAAGGTTGGGCCGGTGAAAAGTGTTTAGGGTATGATTGTTCAGGAGTTCATAACTGCTATGGGAATGGATTATGCGTTGGATCGAACATGTGCGAGTGTAAAAGTGGGTGGAGTGGACATCAATGTATAAATGCATTATGCAGGTTTGTGATTCGAATATATTTAATCAAAAATGAACTTACAATTGCATCACATGACAAAAACTGGGGAAAACATAGATTAAAGCAGGTGCATCTGTTTTACAAATAGAATACGATGATTGCTATACTATAATGAGACAGCTACCCAAAGATTAAATAGTTCCGAGTCTATAAAAGTTTACAATTTAATTTGTTTTTGTAGATAGTTATCAAAGGTACCAGGCTTATAATTTTATACGCCAGACGCTCATTTCGTCTACACAAGACTCATCAGGGACGCTCAGACCAAAATAGTTAGAAAGCCAAACAAGTACAAAGTTGAAGACTAATATTGATGACCCAAAATTCCAAAAAGTTGTGCCACATACGGCTAAGGTTATCTATCTATGCCTGGTATAAGAAAATCCTTAGTATTTCGAATAATTTATACTTTTGCAAACAATGAATTTATAAAAATGACCATATAATTGATGGTCATGTCAACACCGAAGTGCTGACTACTAGGCTGGTGATTCCCTCGGGGACGAAACGTCCACCAGTGGTTGCATCGACCCAGTGGTGTTAATAGTTATCAAAGGTACCCGGCTTATAATTTAATACGCCAGACGCGCGTTTTGTCTACACAAGACTCATCAGTGACGCTCAGGTCAAAATAGTTAGAAAACCAAACTTGAGATTTGTTCATGTTGTTATCCAATTTATTGATTTACCTTAGAGCTTTCATCTTTGGCCCGTATATTCCAACTGCAGAACACTATCGGAGATGACAGTGCGAATGCTGCAATCGTTGCAGGGACATTGCGCTCGAATTGTGCCCTGATCTGAATGTCGTGAACACACTCTTTTCCGGCAGATGACCCATATAGATGAGTAAAAAATGGTTCAGATCTTAAAAAAACGGAGGGATTGATGTAGCTTTTGTTGATGATGTGATCCATGTTGAATGCAACGTCGATGTCCGCGAATGGACATCGTTTTGATTCTGGAATGACGTTGAGTTTTGCACACAGTAGTGATCAAACATGGATGTGTCTAGATTGTTACTTTTGTTTATTTGGAAGGCTACGATGATCCATCTAGTTGTTTTCGCGACCGCTTTTGATCGACAACTAACAACTATGGTATTTACTCTGGGGAACGGCTATAAAATCGCACTGTCTCAAACGGAAATAGCTGTTGTGTTTCATCTTGCTTGTTTGAACTTGTTTTATCGGAGGAAACAACATCAAGAACGAACCAGGATAGTTTACTCAAGACAATCTTTGCTTCGTCATTGACTGCCGCTGCTCGAAACATCGCATTAAAATTTGAAGTTGTTTGGAAAAGTAAAAAAAAACATCAATATTAATAGTATGTAACGATAAGCCAGCTTGTACTCCCCGCTGTCGATGTAACACGTCGAACTAACTAGGAGCTGACCAAAGTCTGAGAAGAAAATCGCGGATTTCATTCTATTAGCAACTTATCTTTTTTTGTACATGTGCGAAACGATTTCATTCCTTTTGTAACTCCTTTTGATTTAGGTCAAACTCATTATTTATATACATCGCATTTGCAGTTTTTGAATGCCTTCATATACATCCAAGTATTCAGGTTCGAATATTTCGTGATGTTTTATATCCATGCATTCCCTAAAAACTAAGCGTAAGTGTCCTTTGTAAAGTAGGCTACCTACAAAAATTTCATCTCTGTCAAAGGTAACAATTGCATTTTAGACGCAAGTACCACTGTGTCAGATCATGATTCAAAGGTTTGGTTAGCATCATCCTATGACGGAACTCCTATCTTGTCCAAGGGTTGAGCCTCTACTTGGTTTGATAGGTAGTGGATCTCCATACCAAGAGGTAAAGGTGGTGACGATAGCAGTAGTAGTATCGATTGGAGGTCTTTAATCGTCTTTATGATCTAAAAAGAAGTTTTTTCTTGTTCGTTTACAACTCTTTTGTTAAACCTTTTGAAAACACGACTCAATCCGTGTTTGTCAATGTGTGGATAGTGCTGGATTTGGATTATGCTTTCAATTTTGGAAATCCCTAGCAAGAACTTCGCCCTGCTTGGGATTGGTATCTATTGCAAACGTCATTTTATTTATAGCGTGTGTAAAAACAAGACCACCAACTAGCATGTAATAGAGTATGAAAAAACACCCCTAAGCATTTGACAAAGGGGTGAGGAATTTGTACTATTGTCTTTACTATTGAAATGAAAAGAAAAAGATAAAATAAACTAAATATTATTAGAAAGACAGTATCCAAAGACTTTACCTTTCAACATATGGAATAGAACATGCAAAAGTCATCGATCTTTTATAACCGAAGAAGATTAAAGAACACGGCAAATAATACGGAACATGTATTACCATACTTGTCATCATATAACCCGTGAAATACAGAAGTGAAAATTATTTATGGGAATATATATAATCACTGGTGAAAGATCAAAGAATGAAAGGAGCATCTGCTACGTACATACTTTTGAGAAACTCTTTTACATGATCATCAGGAAATTTAATCAATGCATTTAAATGTATTGGGTGCCAAAAAGATTATATTGACCAAACAGAAACACATTACGTTAAAGATGTACAGGTCACAGTCAACACATCCGACATCCGAAACTAGGATAACAAACGTTAGTGAAGACCTGTATTTTTGCTCAGCCAATACATTACTGAAATATTATGTTTTCCAATTCTACAAATGACGATCAACTTACTGAAGAAATGCAAATTGATAAAGAAAACATGTTCACTAAAAAGTGCAACCCAAGCTTGAATATATAAGGCGCAATTTGTGTGCATTGTTAAGGACTCGAGCTCATGATCGTGACGTTACGTTACCATTGACGTCATTAGTTATATTGAAGGGACACTAGCTGTCAAATTTCATGTTCACCGATTTGATTCAAATTCTTATATTTGATTTACAACCATGTAAAACATTTGTCCAAATCATAAAAAGTCTAAAATAAACAATTTACAGGGCACGGGCTCGATAATACGTAGCTTCGTTTTGTGTGAATTTTAGTCTTGACGCTATCTAATTACCCTTACGAGTTAGTGTCAGAATATCTCCAATGGTCATATAAACGATATCAACATAAATATAGATATAAATAGAATTGGACTCGTGCAATTGTATTTTTCTTGGTTTGTTTAATTTTATATAACATATTTAAAATATGTATTATTCATCGTTTTTACCTTCATAAGAATTTTTTTGTGGATCGAATCAGTAAATGAAATGATTAATCTTAGTTTAACTTTCAATGCTTACATTATTTTCCTTTAATAACAGAACACGCACAATGCAAGCATTATTCATCTCGAGCTGAGGAGTTGAATTGAAATTCACATGAATACGAATTGATTACAACTGCCATAATCCTGACTTGGTACAGGATAATTAAAAAAAATGGTGGGTTGAACCTGGTTTTATTACTAGCCAAACCTACAGCTTTAATGGCAATGTAAAACAATATCGCTAAAATGACATCACTATGTGACAGGAATACAGCACAAACATACGCAAGTACACCCAGCACAGAGAAACGCACAATACATATAATATAAAAGGTGTTAGATCACGTAACCCGCAGAATTATAACGGACATCTTCCACGAACGACAGCACAAGACAAAACAAATGCGGAAGTCAGAGCGCATAAAGAGAACCACAAATATTTGAACAAACATAGCAATTTTAGTCAATGATGATCTGAGTTGAACGCATATCATAACATCAATGTTGGCAAGATAAAATGTTAATTAACTATTTACTCAACTCGACATCCCGATGACCCAAAATCAATCAAACTACATCAAAAACTTATAATGATAAATATTAAATCTGCATTTTAGTTATGTCAACAACTGTAGTGATCATGGTTTCTGTATTCAACCTGACGTCTGCAAGTGTGCTCCTACATTCACTGGTGAAAACTGTAGTTTGTGTATACAGTTACATTGGGGCACCAACTGTGATCCATGTCCAAACTGTCGGAATGGGGAATGTAATCTTAATACAGGTATTTGTTTTTTTTTATTACATTAAATGGTTTATTCAATTAACTTTTGTATGCATAAATAAAGAAGATATTAGAAGAAAACATTAATATGCTACGTAATATCGTAAAGATGCAATACTACATGTGTGTAACAGCAATATTATTTTAAAGTCATACATTTTGTATTTTTAGAATTGTTAGAACAATCTGTTGTAATTTTAGATGAATAACTTACATACTATTTACTTGTACAGTAATAGTTTTCACATAATCATACATGTATATTATGAGATACGTCATGCCTAACTGTACTTTGTTAAGTGCATGAATAAAACAACTTTCATGCGAGTCTTCAATTATATGCAGGAATCTGTGAATGTTATGGAGCGCGTCGGAAAGGAGGTCTCTGTGATATTTTTACAGTAACATGTTCTATGGTCTAAACTGTCTAAATTCCCTGACAGTTTTGAATGTTATACCAAAATCAAGGGCTTGAGAGCGGAGGCAATGACGTGAATGTCTGGCGGCACCATTTTCCACAGACAGATACTTATAAGTTAGATTGAGAACTTATTTGAATCAATTACTTGTAATGCAGTTTACACTTTTACAATGTTGCTAGATAAATGAGCATTTCTATGAGTCTTTAATTATGTACACAGGGACTTGTGATTGTTTTGGAGCACATTGGACCGGAAGTCTCTGTGATATTTGCAGTGAGACATTCTATGGTCCAAACTGTCTACCTTTGCTGACAGTTTTGAATGTTATACCAAATCAGGGCCTTGATAAAGGAGGAAATGATGTGCATGTTTGGGGCACAATTTTCCACAGACAGATACTTATAAATGTAAATTTGACACAAACGTTGTGAACGGTGTATGGGTTGCCTCGAATCACGTGATCTGTTCTGCTCCAAGACATGCAGCAGGGATCATTAGTCTTGACATTTCTCCAGATGGGATAGAGTTTAGCAACACTAAGGTGATTTTATTCAGGCATTTAGTTTGCACTTTCACCCATGTTTTACAAAGAAAATTGTGCCCGACAGTCGGTACCCTGTACCTTAACATCTTGTTGGTCACATTTATGTTTGTAACATTTATATAGATTTACCTTCATTACGAACGCTAAAAACTAAACGTTTGAAAACAAAAGATATATAAAACATAAACCAGCGAAGAACTATATGACCAATAAATAAACTCATCATAGATACCAGGATTGAAATTTTGTATTCTCGCTAGATGCACGTTTCGTCTACAAATGACTCATCAGTCACGCTCGAATAAAAAAAAGTTAAAAAGACAAAATAAAGAGCAAAGTTGAAGAGCCTTGAGGACCAAAAAGTTCCTAAACGTTTTGTCAAATACAGCTAAGGTAATCTATTCCTGAGGTAGAAAAAATTAGTATTTCAAAAATTCAAAGTTTTGTAAACAGTTCATTTATGGTAATGACCATATCAAAAGGGACCTAGGTGAATGAACAATGTCGAATTTTACCATATTTGTTACAATTCATGTTACGCGCGACCGAATATGGATGGAGTAAATATCAATAGCATACCTTCTTACAGAATGCCAAATATAGCTAACCTTATTAAAAATAATACTGACTACACTATTCATTATTTTGATGTTACTTGCTGACATAAACATGCGGACAAAATTTACCTTATTTATCCTTTTAAACATAAATTTAAATAACTCATTTGCTTTCATTCAAAGTTCATTTGATATTAGCATAGACATGATAGATATACTGAAGTCATGTTAATATGCAAGGCTAATTTTATGTTGACATGTATTGTTATTCCTTTATTTTTTATAGGTTAAATATTTATATTTTGCAACGTGTCCACCGAGCTCATGTGGACGAGATGCGTCGCCTCCACATGGTCAGTGTTTGTTTGGGGGTTGTTCTTGCAACCTTCCGTGGACAGGTGAAAATTGTACGATTGAACTACTAACACCTGTTATTATTAAGCCTCCACAACAAACTATAAACGAATCGGTTATATACGACTACCAACTGCAGTTATCACGGGTATGAATCTTGAGTTGATTAAATTGGTAGTTGGTTTGTTTTTGTTTTCCCTCATTTTAAACTCCTTTTGTTCTCTTCTTTTAAGATGTATGATATTTGAACATTGGTGAACTACTGTTGTCTATTTTGAATTATCCTGCCCTTATTATAGCTTATAAATGACAATTTCCTGAACGCCATTCATGATATCTGTAATTTTACTTGTTTACAAGTGTATTAAATGAGTTGTTGAGCATGTGTTATTTAGACATCAACAATAAGTACTGAATAACACCAAAAGACGACATACACTGTTCAACTAAAGTTATTTTTCTTGAAGCTTTAAATCTCCCTGAGTCGACAAATGTAAAAGACACCTCAAAGTTCTGCATTGAAGATTGATTGATCTGTGTTTAAGGTCATTTTCAGCAGCACAATTGACTATTTCTTGTCTGTCTTGAAAGGATACCGGAGTGACCAGACAAAACCACATACCTTCGGCAGGTAAACTCACAACGTTCGTCAATTCAGAACCAACCGCACCAACCACTTGTTGGGGTCGAAATCACTGCCTCAGTGTTGACAATCATGTAATACCGTAGCTACAAATAACACTCAATTCTCCAAGAAACTAACAATATCATAAATACATACTACTATCTATCGAGATTCCGACACAAAAAGTCTGACAAATTGAATTGATATCAAGCAATCTATTTTCAATTGTGATCAATATTTACATGATTAATTGGCAGAATGAATAAATTGGGTTCACCAAAATGTGTTCTTATAGTGGGCATTTTAGGTTTAAGGAAAAAAACCATAAAGTTGTAATTTTGTATTCAAGAGAAAGATCACAGGAAAAAACCTAAAATTGTTGCAATAATATCATCAATGTGTGCAACGTATATAAATTCAGAGATATATTCGGTGAACATATGTGTAGAGAACGCATTTTTACATTGTTGCTGTTTTTGATTCTAACAGACTTGCCAATATTGTTAACAGTCTTATTTATTTAGTACCAAAGGTATCTGTTTTATGTCAGAAATCCCAATACAATGTTTGATAAGGCCCATTTATGTCGAAGATAAGGTAACTATCTCTTTTTTTTTAATAATTTGTATTTTCAGGGGAGTTTACCAGTAACTTGGTCACTCATAGATCATCCAGGAAATATGATGATAGATGAACGAACTGGAAGACTGTTTTGGTCAAATGTTATAGGAAGACTATTAGCTTATTCAGTCATTGTAGAGGCAACAAATGTTGTCGGTAAACATAGTACTGAATGGACGATAAATGTACCTGTTTCGTATTCTGTTAACCTGATATCTCTATATCCAACTGGAATTTTACCTAGACCAAAGCAAATAGACTTTTTAGGGGAGGTTGCATTCAGTGATTTTATTGCACCGAGGCTCGTTCCAATCAAACTTATGTGAGTTCAATTTAAAAACTTATTGTTGACATGAAAATATATTTAGACATATACAAATATTTAGACAACATAGAAGAATAAAAGACTGTGCAACATAAACATCACAGACAAACCGGGGTTATTGTTCACTTGTGATTGATGCCATTTCTGATTGATCATAACAGGCTGGTATTATATATGTTTTGATAAATGATAACTATTTGATTCGGACTCTATATTGAATGAATATCGTCTTTGATAATGTTTTGTTATCGAATATCAGTATAACGTGTATAATACAAATAACACTTATCAATTTCATTCGTCATAAGCGCGTTTCTTGATTTGCCATTCATGCATGGAGAACGCTCTAACATAAAAACACTTAAGTTTGGGACATAATATAAAAACAAAGAGCTACCAGGATGCTTCAAGATGAAAATAAAGATTCTAGTCAAATTCATATAGTATTTACTTTTCAAAAGGAATCTGGAACCCTTACTTATTGATGATTTCTCAATATAAAGTAAACGAGCATGTTTTTAAAAGTTATAAATCATGTCGACACCGAAGCATTGACTAACATCTGAGCTGATTATACCAACAGTTCACCAGGAGTGGTATTAACCTAGTGGTTATAAATACATATAACACTTTAAAAAATCCTTTTTTCATATGTGCTTTGATGATTTACCTTCATTAAGAACGCTCAATTCTGAAAAAAATGATAGGTATTGATTTATGAATATGATAGAGACTGATTGTCCTCAGTGACAGAAAAATATCGCCAAATTGCCAAATTTGGTTTAAAGAGGTTTAAACTTATATTATTTATTATTTTTTAGTTTATTAACAAGGATTTTTTTTTTAAATAAAGTTTCTTGTTAATCATATCAGCACCAAAATAAACGAGAAGGGAGAAACCCCAAACCAGTTAAATCCCTGTTGCCATACATTTGTATTAAAAAAGTCTTTAAACTCAAACATGAGAATATAAAATACATTTTCAGTACATCCTACCAAATTCACTGTTCAAGTGGGTGTTTTGCAGACGAAATGTATGTCAGGCAAATTGTAAGCCTGGTATCTATGAGTTTTATCAACCACTGGTTCGATGCCACTACTGTCGGACGTGTCTTACCAAGGTCATCATCAGCCCAGTAGTCAGCTTGATTGTGTTGACATTCAATATCATTGATATAAACGTAGGTGAACTGTTTGGAAAATGTTGAATTGTTCGCAACCCTTAGGTTTTTCTATCTCTATGCATAGATTTGAGGGGAAATATTTTCTAACTTTTAAGTTTTAATGCTCTTTAAGTTTGAATTAGATTTGACCTCCCAACTGTTTTGTTCGAGCGCAGCTGATGATCAAAATAACTACAAAACGTAGTTTGTTAAGTTTGTTGTATTCACAAAGATAGTAACCCCTGAAATATTCAATTTAGCATATGGTATATCTTTAATAGATTTTTTTTTCAGAATTAATAGTACGTTAACAGGTACAACACGGGTCTTATCACCAACAAGTGAAAATAATAACCCAACATCATTCAGGACAACGTATTATCCAAGACCGGATGATGCAGGAACATTTACTGTGGTACGCCTTATTTTAACGTTCTTTTTGCTAGTTGTTGCTTTAATATGATAGGGCAAAATACTGACTGTCATGCGCATATCTATAAATGAAGGCAACAGTAGTATACCGCTGTTCTTGTAGTTCATTTGCATTCGAAAGATATAAATATTTGGCTTTGAGCGTTTCTGTTTAAGGAAAACGCAGAAATGCGCTTCGAACATTTGAAATTTACGACATGTTGTTTCAATATTTTTTATAAGTTAAGCATAAATAAGATTGTTCTCGACCCCTACCTTAACGAATGTGCATTAATATATTTTTCCTTGTCCCGATGATGAAGAACATGTAGAAACATTTGTCACTGGATGTTAATAACAAATCAATCAATCGTTAGTTTGTGAGTGTTTATTTAACTTCTAGTACATTCATTATTGTCTTATCGTATTATTATTCTATAAACCTCAATAATGCTTATATTCTACAAGGTGTATACTTGATAAATTTTTTTTCTTATTCTTTTTATAAAGAAAGCATATCATCCAGGTTTGGAGCGAAGTTCAGGGAACACATTAACATGGGTAGTACTAGGCATTCGTTGCGAACCGAATTTTGTTAGCGTGAAAAGTTACATAGACGGAAGTCAAGCTGTGTTTGCAAACGTATCAACTCTAAAAAATGTTGGAGGTTATCCAATCGGTAACATATCATCAAAGGTATTCACAGTATTATATTTTTTTACTAACAGGTTGAACTAAAATTCTAGCAAGTTGTCGAAATTTGTCCAAGTAAGAAGATATAAGAGTTGTGTAACATGTTTTTGTTTACTTGCAATTGATAATATATTGTAAAAAACTTTAGTTTTTGAATATTCTATTATCATTACAGGTATATGGTATTCAAAACGTTCATGTTTTTAAATCTGAAGATGAAACGGAAGAAGCATTCTTCCTGACGAAACTCAATTCGGACGAAATGGTTAGTTTTGGTTTCCAAATGAAAGATGTAAAACCAATGTTGAAAACATTTTATATTGTGTTTTCAACAACGGATAGAACATATGAAAGGCTTCAAATTAATGTTGATTTATCGATCAAAAAGCCGTTACTTATTTTCGAACCATTCGCTGTTAAGGACAACATCATCCGTGGTACTCAAAACATTTTAGATATAACCATAAAAAATATCGGTGATATTCCAGCAAGAGATGTGAGTATTCATATACCAAATGAAACAAAAATAAGTTTGATGTCATTATCAATGAAAGGAGAAAATGTGAATTATGCAAACGAACAATTGCGAGATAGTTTGACTATTCCCTCACTAAGTGAAGCTATCATGTCTCTCGCCATCACTGTTGAATCAAACACTCCATTAGGGGAACTTCGGGGAACTATAGCGGTAAATACCAATCTTACTACGTTTATTTTACCATACGCTATTACAATTACTTCAGAGCGACGACTCAATTTAACTTTTGTAATCAAAGACGAATATACTTATTTTGCGACTGGATCACCATTGGTTATTGGTGCAGAAGTTAAATTGGTAAATCCAAGACGAGGGTACTCAGAAACAAGATTAACTTACAATAACACAGGTATTTGACTTAACTCGACTATAATTGCATTTTGTATACTATGTTTCATTGATGAGTCTTTTGTAGACAAAACGCGCGTCTTGCGCAAATACAAATGTCAATCCTGGTATTTTTGATGAGTTTATTTACCATGTTTACTGACGCATTGGTGACAAAGGAACTGTAACACCATTTCCTCGGGCAAATTAGCAAGTCAGCTTTATAATACACACGATAGATGTTCTCAAATGTTCCCATATATCACATATAATCACGTATTTGATTTCAACAACAAAAAAACTCTGTATTACTGAAAAAAAAATTACATAATTACACTAAGGTTTTCGTTATCACAAACTAGTCAAAACATTTACTAAATTTTATCATCGGTACAAGGACATCATTCGTAAATATAAATCAACATGCAGACATCTTATACATTTAGGTATTTTACATCCAACATTTTAAGGTAACATTCTTTACAAAGCACAAAAATGTCGGCATTCACCTCAAAAGCTAACTAAGCCTTTAAATAGGCTTATTTGGAAAGGATATAGTTACGATACTGTTGTCAAGTCATTAAGGATGGCATATTTTGGTATTATTATTGATTTACTCATAGGGTCTTTGAAACAGAAATAAACACATTTATATAAAACCAGTTGTTGGCATGGTACGGGTTATGTTCTTCTCATATATTTTATGATGGTATGATACTAAACGAGAGGGATTGTACTTGATTTTCATCTGATGAAGACATAATCTAATTGAGGTCCGGAGCTGGCATGTCAGTAACTGCTGGTAGTCCTTTTTTCATTTATGTTTCATTGTCATTTTGCTCAATTTCTTTTGTTACCTATTCTAATATCGGACTCGGAATTCTATAAAATTGAGTTTTACTGTGCGTATTGCTATGTGTTTCTTTATTCTACATTAGATAGAGGTATAGGGGAGGGTTGAGATCTCACAAAACATGTGTAACCCCGCCGCATTTTTGCGTCTGTCCCAAGTCAGGAGCCTCTGGACTTTGTAAGTCATGTGTGTTTTCTTAATTGTAGTTCATTTACATGTTTTGGAGTTTAGTGTGACGTCCAGTTTCACAGAGCTAGTACACAATTTTATCTAGGAACCAACTGAGGACCACCTCAATTAGCGGGATTTTCTCGCTGCGTTGAAGACCTATTGGAAGCCGTCGGTTGTTGTCTGCTCTTTGGTCAGGTTGTTGTCTCTTTGACATGTTCCCTATTTCCATTCGATTTAAACTGATTTTCTTTGTAAATTTCAAATTGTCTTCAATTATTAAAATAATATTTAATTAAAGGTTTGATTTCTTGTCCGGATTTTGCAATACTTGTCATTTTTGGTTTGATCAGCTCTTCAACGGTTGCATAAGATTATTTGGAATTTTGAATATTATGGGCGCCAGCGTCACTGACGAGACATTAATTCTGGATAGATGAATCTAAAGCAAAGCAATTGGTTTCGTTTGATTAATAACTACATCTGGTTCGATACCTTTGCTGTTGGACTTATATAACCTGAGGTTATCAGTAGCACAGTAGATAGATAGTACTTTGATTTTGGGAATGGCATAAAAGTACGAATATCATTTTATTGAAGTTAATCGATAACATGTAGGAATCAATTTCTAATTAAAATATATTTTTCCACTGCAAAGCTTAGATTCCATTCTAGCGGCTAATCGTGAGGTCTTTTTTGGTATGATCAGCTTTTTGGTTATTCTATTTATCCTTTGAGCGCAGAGATTTTGTTTATTCAAAACGCTAAGTTGCCGTACATATGCTTATGACGTTACTTTAAACTACACGTAAGGTCACGTAAATTTGGTGCATACAAGCACAGGCAGGTTATAAACGTTAAACAATTAATTATGTGGAAAATTAAATCTTCGGCGCTACCCTATTAATTGGAGTAAACATGCTACCAACCTAGCTTATGTTCAGTGATATGTTTTCTTTTTGAAGTTGAATACTTACAAATGAAAATGGAAAGAAATGATTAACATCATAGCAATCAAAATATATGTACAAAAACACAAGTACTATATCTGTATATAAATAATCACGCAGGATTTTGTTTTATCACCGAGGAATTCAACAGACGAGCAAGGTTTACAATTTCTTTTATTTGTCATCAACATTTGATGTCTTAATTTCATACTTGGGTCAAGTTTCTTAATTGATTTCTTATAGGCGGTAGTGATAACGTTTCTTATATAGATATCGTAATCTTGGATATGTATGATGGCTCGTTTCGAAGCTGATACATTTTCTCATATGTGGATAAATTTTCGGCGTACGAAGTAAAACATTTTTTCCCCGTAAATTAGGATACCCTAAAAATCTTTTCGAATGCGGCTCCTTTTTTAGCACAATAAGTTCTTTTGAAAATTTAATACTGTAAAGTCATTCACTAGCTCCAATGTTTTTACTCATTTATTCTATAATCCTCTTCTTTCCAAATATATACAAATGGTTAAGCTCTCAGTATTTTGTTAAAAATAGAAACATTTCCAATATCACTACAAGAGATTTTTGGATTACGCACAACTTCTGAGTATCTCAATAAGAGGGGCATTAGGGATGTTGACCCACCCATCTCTGATTTACAGTCTCCTGCTTTTATGGAGTAATCATAGACTTTCTATTCTAGGATATCACCAGCTGATTAGTCAGCACGTCTGTAACAAGATGAATTATCATTATTTTGATCATAACAAAACTTAACTATTTTTTTTAAAGAACTAGGGATTTTCTATCCCAGGAATAAATAACCTTTGAATTACACAACTTTTGCAAATCTTTTCGCAATTTTGAGTCCTGATTATCTGTTTTGATTCGAGGGTAACTGCTGAGTCTTATGTAGACGAAAAGCGGTCTGGCTTACAAAATTTTTAATTCTTGTATCTATGATCATGATGATGAGATTATTCAGTTAAAGTTTAACATGTGTATGTGGTATGAACTGTAGTCCAGTAAATATCAAGATTATAAATACAATTTAAAAAGATATTTATCTGTGTTTTGCACATGTCTGACTTTAATAAGTTTTGTTATTAGACCAGGCCTGTGTATAAAATAATTTTTGATTATTGTTGCGGTTATTGACATAAAAATTTGAATATCAATATCTTTTTTATTCATATGCTTGAGACATTTTAAGATTAGAAGAAGAAAATACATAAACGCTGTGATGCACTCTTAAGGCAAGATTGATTAAGATTCATCTAGAAAATTTCTGTAAAAGCTTTGTCTCTAAATGATTGAACTATTTTAAATTCATAACTGGAACATAATTTGTTTAAATATGACAAAAAAAAAGTGGTAATAGTAGCAATATAACACACCAATAATAATTATAGACCATGTACTTTCTTGAAGACTTTTTTGTCCTTAAACATAGTCTCATAATGGTTACTCCTAAAAGAGGGGCGAAAGATACCAGAGAGACATTCAAACTCTGAGATCGAAAATAAACTGACAACGTCATGGCCAAACAAGAAATAGACAAACACACACATAAAAGTAAAAACGACACAACATAGAAAACTGAAGACTAAGCAACACGAAATCCACCAAAACCCGGGGGTCATCGCAGGTGTTCCTGAAGTGTAAACAGACCCTGCTCCACATGTTGCACCCGTTGTGTTGCTCATGTTATTACAAACTCTGTAAATAGTCTAATGCGGTAGGTCAAATTCGTGAAAAGGAAACGGGTTAGTAATAACGACATAAGGAACATAAATGATATCATCTGTGAAACGGATATTTCATACGGTCAACCAACTCGTGATGGCGTATGTAAAATTTACGAAGTGATGATTTCAACTTCGCCATATTTGGAACTCATGGTTTAATAGCTTCCTAGTGAGCAGCAACCCTCTTTCAAGGAAATCATATTCACCAATTATAAAAATAATTATATTCTCCAATCATAAAAAGAAAATGCAGACTCGATTCAATTACCAGTCTTAAAAGCAAGATAGACGGACAATACTTGAGGCAACGTTCTACTTACTGACTACCTGTTTACTGTAAATAATTCAACAGATAGTACTAAAATTTAATATTAACATCGAAATCCTCCATTAAAATTAGACAACAAATACAAAAAGCCCATTCGTATATATACAAAAGACATGCTATCATCTGAGACCTTAAAACTCTCAGACTGATATAAATAAAGGCAACCATCGCGACTGGCACACATATAAACCGTTTGTTTCTGGATATGTTTTGTCCATTAAAGAAATTTGTCTAAAATATAAGGTATTTAGTAAACTCTGTTGAGCTAATTTGCATATTAAATAAATGTTGTACAATTTTGAACTTCACATAAGAGACTGCCACTTTCCATAAACTAAAAAAGGCAAAATATTGTTTTAAATTGGTTTTTTATTTGTTGTTGTTTTACCATGCTGTTCTTGTAGTAAACTTTGTTCGACTCTGAATAAATTCTCACATTTGTAACCATTTTAGGAACGACAGAACAAAACATTAAATAGTGATAATCATGATAAAGTCCAAGTGTTGTTTTACTAGTACGATATATAATTTCTTCATTTAAATTCAACAAGCTGATATTTTTTTTGAGCGAACTATTATAAGCATTAGTTGTATGTTTTGACGATATGTGATTTTCTTTATGTTTATAGGGGCTGTATTATTCGAAAACATAAACGAGGACAAATACACAGTTTACGCCAAGGCTGAAGGTCATTCTACCTACTCTGCTATCATAATTGCAACACCCTATACAACAAGTCGAGATATATTCCTACAAAGAACAGCTGTGACATATACGTGGACAGTTACACCAACTACTGTAGAGGACAAATATGAAATTACACTAGATTCCACCTTTGAAACATTTGTAAGTTTATATAACATAAATCTGCTTTTAATCTGTATATTTTTCAAAGCACACAAAAAATTAATTGAAAACATAATATCGACTAAACAAAAACAGTCGGACTTGAATAAATGTGTCTTCATATGGTCAAATCAAGCTTGGGACCTTGTAGAGTTGGGAGGGCGACCCAACGACATACCATCTCGTTTAAATTTACCCGTGACATTTAAAAATGTTCAAAACCGACTATTAAAATTGATGAAAAGTAACCGGGTGACCTCGGTCAATTTAAAAACAATCTGTAGCCGAATAATTAAATTTGCAATATAAACTTTATAATCAGTTCATATATAAAAATCTTTTCAAATATTTGAATACACTAAACCGATGTTTTCTACAGAGTGTGTGACTATCATGTCTGTTGCGCAATGATGTTTTAATTATGTTTATGCATAGGGTAGTAGAAGGATGGGATTTTTTTTAAAGAATCCTATTGGGAAAAGTTTGTGTTCGTTTTAAAACTTTTACAACTCAAGAACATCAAAGTAAAGGAAACATGCCATCTTAAAAAATTAAAGTGGAACTATATTACCTACTGCATGTACTGAGGTTGTTAAGTTCATTCGTCATATAAGACAATTGACCTTAGATCTCAACATTATCTTTCAAAATACCCAAAACGCCGTAATATATATAGAAAATAAAATGAAATGGAATATGTTCTACATGACAAGATAGATAAAATTAAATAGAAGGTGAGTCCGAATCGGTTATTCCTTGCCCTTGTCAGTTTAACTGTTTTAATGTCTCAATAATGGTTTAGTAGGTAGCGCCCAAAGGATCCATCCTTAATCCCATACATCTGAAATTGTCCAAACATCGTTTTAATTATTTTAAAAATCAATAAACTTTTATGGGATATTTGTTTTAAAATATTTGTTCGAAATGAATTGTATTATTAAGGAGTATATACTTATAGAAAATGGCTGCAAAGATTTCATAACATCATCCTGTTTCATTCATACCGTCATTGTTTTATTAGATTTTATCTTTGTGTTCTTCTATCGTTGTAATGATTGGATTTCCATCATCAACATGTTTATTTTCTTATTTAAATCATACTTTTTCTGAGCAGTTAAATTTAGTTAAGACAATTATCTTTAACAATCCCGTTAATCTTTTATTGATATACATTCATATTACAAAAGTAATAAAACTAAATGAAAACACAGTTTCGATAAAGTTAGACTTTTAATCTATAAATTAAAATAGAGAGGATTTAGATTGTAAATTCTGTCATAACATGGAATCTTTTTTATTAAATGTGAACGAGCATTAAATATTGAATTCTTTTTTTTATATGCAGTAGAATATGAATAGCAGTTCTAAAATCTACATTGTGTTATCGCATCGGTAACAATATATGCGGGAATATTATCAGGGGGTAAACTGTAGCAGCCATATATATGTACATCTATAAACCTGTTGTATATAACTATATATACATCAGGGACAATGTCACGTTGTTGTTAACAAAGCACTACCAGCACATCATCTTAGAAGTATCAAAGAATAGGCAAAAATAATGCAATTCAATGATCTTTAAAAAGCTATCATTATTATATTTCTTAACATTACATATATTCATATGTTGTTTGTTTGTTTTAAAGGTCCCAATGCCGGTGGTAACAATTGAACCAAACAAATTAGACACAATGCCTTTTGAGACAGAAGAACGAGATAGCATTGACTTTAATATAACTAATCATGGCCTCATCCGAGCTGATAACCTTCGGTTTTCTTTACCTACAGGACATCCTACACTGCAATTTCAATCGGTAAATATAATGACTATAATACACAAATCTTGCCATGAGCGGATGCCGCGTGTGTCGAATGAAATAATAATCCTTTCGGAACAAATCAATTTTGTCCCGATTTTCTCGTCAACTCGTGTTTATAATTCTTTAGTTTTTCTGTGATATACGTTTTGTTATTAGATTTTCCTTTTTAAAGTTCTTATCTGTAAGTATTGCAACATTTGTATGTCTTTCTCCTTTTTTATATTTTTCACATTTACATTTCTTATTTCAACGAGAAACAAAAAGGTATAAAGAATGAAATAGATATTTTTATCAATAGAAATACCATTTCTATTCTACAGGGGGTTATTAACCAATCAATAAATGTTTCTAGAAAGTTTAATTTTAATTTTAATTATAGAACTGCTTCTTCGCCGAACATATACAAGTTACCTAATTCATTGTTTTTCATTTTTATACGTACTTTTATTTATTCTGGATGATGATAAAGTGTCTTCAAAGGAACCGATTTCGTCCAATTCCGCAATAGCTATTACCTGAGATGATCATACTAGAGTCAACCAAAATTTAAACGTTTGCCACAGAAGACAAATGACAGGATGTTCTATGTGTTACGCCCTCGTTTGTACTGCAAGGGGTGATATTTCAACGAAAGTTTGACAAACCAAACAGTGTTGAAAAGTTTGGAAAATATTTTTGTTTATCTTAAAGATGCGAGGTCACGTGTATATCGAAGGTCAACTGGCCTATTGCCATCCCTCGAGAACTGTGGTCGCCAATCTCCTCCTCAGAAATGTTTCAAATATCTGAACTATTTTAATCTTATCAGGCTGAGTGTTGATATGGTCATAATTAAAAATTAACAGTTTACAAAACTTTGAATTTTTTAAATACTAAGGATTTCTACCCCAGGAATAGATTACCTTAGCCGTATTTGGGAAAACTTTAAGGAATTTTTGGTCCTCAATACTCTTCAAATTCGTACGTTATGTAGCCTTTTTAACATGTTTGTATTCGAGCGTCACTGATGAGTCTTTTGTAGACGAAACGCACACCTAGAGCAAATATAAAAATTCAATCCTGGTATCTCTAGTGAGTTTAATTGTAATAGAGGACTAAGTAAAATGCTAATAGATATAAGAAGATGTGGTATGAGTGCAAATGAGACAACTCTCCATCCAAGTCAAAATTTATAAAAGTAAACCATTATAGGTCACAGTACGGTCTTCAACACGGAGCCTTGGCTCACACCGAACAGTAAGCTATAAAGGGCCCCAAAAAATTACTAGTGTTAAACCATTCAAACGGTAAAACCAACGGTCTAATCTATATAAAAAACGAGAAACGAGAAACACTTATGAACCACATCAACAAACGACAACTACTGAACTACTAATGTTTATTAATCATCATTCCAAAAATCAGGTTTATAACTTTTCTCGTTTGTGATTAAATGATAAAGTTTCAAAAAATAAATCTGAGTTTTTTCAGATTGTTCAATTTATAATCTACGTGTACTGATGGATGTTATATTTTTTTGTTTACGTACTCGTATAACATTTAAGAGTAATACAGAGTGGAATTGGCGTTTATTTTTTTACACTTTTTATTAATTCAGAATAAATCATACATGTCTTCAAATTAAAACAAAAGAACCCAAAAGAAAAAAAAAAAAAAAACGCATCGGGGTCTAAAAAAGGATATTTTAGGGAGCCAAAAATGGAAGGGTTTACTATAGAATCCTATGAGATTTTATTTTATTTTATTTTCAAATGATTATAACTAGAAAATAATTAGTGATAGTTACTATATTTATAACTAAAAATGTTCTACACGATCATGATGATACAGCACCTCAAATGAAATGAAGGGTTAGTTCCCAGGGGTTACCACCACTCACTGCCTTTTTAGAAAGTTAAAATATCTTGTAAGTTATCAAAATCCCCACCCCTAAATCATTTACATTCTAGGTTGTCATGATAAGGTACATGGAATGAAAAAAAAAGGATTAGTCTCAAGGTAGTCATCCTAAACTCCTGTTATTTTAGAAAGTTCAAATAACTTGTTAGTGGTGACGATTTCCACCATAAACCAATGTTCATATATCTTGTAATTGGTCGAGATCCCCACCCCTTAACCATATATTTTTCTATTCTTCATGTGACAACGACATGAATGATATTGAGGGTCAGTCACCAGGGATCACCACATCCCTGCTATTTGAGAAAGTTCTGATATCTTGTAAGTGGTGCGGATCCCCCAATGGCATCCAAAATACATTTATTCTAGATCGTCATTCTAAGATGATTTAAATGATAAACAGGGTAAAACGCAAGGGGTTATCCCCACTCCTTGTCATTTGAATATGTTCAAATGTCATGTAAATGGTAAAAATCCCATCCTTAAACCATATATATTCCTGTTCGTCATGTCACGAAGATTTGAATGATATATAGAGTCCGTCCCCAGTGGTCACTTATACATATCCCTCTACTGGACCTACCCAATTTTAATGGATCTTGCCCAATGTCCGGCCACCTTAGGAATGACTGTATTTTTGGGAATTTTGTTTGGCATTCTGTTACAATAGTGTCTTGTTTTGTCCTGACCTCATTCAATAAAAAAAAATAATCAATCTATTATTCATAATATGTTTGCCCCTCAAATAGCAGAATTGTTCATGTATTTCACAACTTACTCGCTATGTCCGTGTCTAAAGTTGCGTTGTGGAGTTTAATGAACGAATTTTACGTATAACTTATACATTATCAAGACAGGGATTTCGTTTTCACGAATATACTAAAACCTTTATACCAAAATCTGTCATAGATGAACAAATTGTCGAGGCAGTTTGACTGTAGAATTCTCATTCAAAACGGGATATCACATCCTGATTTTTAATGCGATGTGGTATATAAAGTGCATAAATGTAGATACGATCCATATAAACTAATTGATCCTTTGAATCAACTCATTCTTAAAGTTTGTCAATTGAATACAAAATCTTTAAATGTTAATTTTATTGATATTAATATTAACATTATTTTGTTTTTGACAAAAAGTAATTCATAAATTGATCGTGATCCTACATTCTGACGATACTGTTGACCTATATTTTGGCAGTGCACTAGGTCAAGCGTTTTGTTAGACTGTTTATTAAATCTTTACACTTAATCTGTTAAATGTGTTATAACTGATAATGTAGTCGGGTTTTACATGATTAATTTTTAGTTGTAACTTACTTTGAACTATTATCCAAGTACTATTAAATCGGCACTTTGAATCTTTTTTGTTTTTGGGATGTATAAACGTACTGCTACGTCTACTTAGTGGTTTTGTTAATTGTTTTTGCTTTGTTTTGATCTGCTGAGTTCATTCCTGTTAAACTGATTTTTATATTATGTTCTCATGTTGAATGTAACACCAAAATCCCAGGTTAGTGGAGCTTTTGAGGCCAGCAATCATGTCCTCACCCCGCTACATTATGTATGTGCATGTCCAATGTCAGGAGCTTGTTGTTCAGTGGTAGTCGGTGATTCATATCTGACATACATGTATTCATTCTTCGGAAACTGTTTTGTCAAAAACCAGTAGTTTTTTTTATTGAATTGGTTCACATATTTCATTTCATACCACATTTCCTTATTTATATATACAGACCACAAGCTATGGTAAAATTATTTTTTTGTAGTTTGCACACTTAATGGTTTATCCAGTAATTTCATCAAGGGCTTTTATTGTTGACACTCGAGCATTAGTGACAATGCCACTCCAGTAGATTCAACTCAATCCCTTTCATCGTATGAAAACTTGCTGGCAACATTGTACAATGAATTATATCCTATGTTTCATTAATATGATGCTCAACGCGTTTTACTGACCCTTACGGAGAATTTTATATTTATCACATTGTTTATTTTTTGCTTATAATTTTTCTGTTCCCACTATGCTATTATATCTCTTCATTTAAATATCTTACAATACTCTAATGTATTACATTGAACATACGAAATTATTTCAGACTGTCGATGTAATCGGGGATCTTGCAGCCAAATCATCTGTTATTATAACGGTCAAGATAACTCTTAAATCAGGAAACACAGGACATGGTGGTTGCAGTATGTTTATAGTATATGAGTATGATTGTGGAGGAATACGTACTAATAGCGCAAGTGTTATTCTTACTGGAAGATGTGGAGGCGGAGATATAGGTTGTAAGATCTCCTTTGATTATTTCAGTCATTTTGAAATTATTTTATTTTTGGTGAAAGTGGTCCTTTTGGTAATCATGTTTTAATTGTCAAGATATCATATTTACTTTAAGTTCCTTAATGACCTTACAGGACTTTATCGGTTCTCTAATCAAATATCATTTCATCTATAGATGTGTGTTTTTGTATCAATTCAGCAAGTTTCGAGTAGTCATTGGTCATGTTATAATGTGTAAACATTAAGTGTTTATTCGCAAAATAAGAAGTTTGACACAGTCGTAGATTTTGTTTAAAATCGTGGCATAATTTATAAATGATACTTCGACCTTATTGGTTTCCTTTATTCAACAGAGCGATAAAATTTCTTTAGAGTTTTAACTTTATGATTTTTACTGATATGCACATTAGGTGTAACAAAATAAAATTAATAGGTTAAAGTGACATGTGATTTTTATCAAATAATGTTAAATTTTCACCTCAAAATAGAAAACGTTTGTAACAGAATATGGCAATATCCGAAACTTTAACACTCTTACACTATAGCACAAATAAATGTGTATAAATGTTAAGCTTTTTAAATCGGTCTTTAGCATATTAAAATAAATCTTCAATTGCACAGTATTGTGCAATAGATTTTTAAGAACTTTGACCACATTTATTTTATGTAAGAAACCTATGTTATGTCAAAATTTTGATCAGATTCAAATTCAGAGAGTATCTAACTTGTATATTGTGTCCAAATTTGCCCCAAATGTTCAGGGTTCGTCCTCTGCGGTCGTTTTAGTCTGCGTTTAGCGAAGCATTTTATTTTTAAATCAAATATTGTGTCCGTATTTAAATTGGTGTCATTAGCTTTCACTATGTGTTTGAACTTTTGATTTTACCATTTGATTATAGGGACTTTCCGGTTGGAATTTTCCTCGGAGTTCAGTAATTTTGTTATTTTATTATCTTACTGATAAAAAATCATTGGTTGTCAAAAATATAGCTTTGAAAAACAATACTATGAATATACAATCAATGAAAAAAGGACCGAAAAATATTGTTTTAACACCTTGAACACATCATTAATCAATCTTATCGTAATTCAAGTTAAAGGTAAGTTTCGACGGATTAGATCTTGATGAAGCTTCCTTCTAAGTTGTACAATTTCTGTAAAAAGGAAAATAACAAAAATACCGAACTCCATGAAAAATTCAAAGTGGAAAGTTCCTAATCAAATGGTAAAATCAAAATCTCAATGGGATACAGCATCCAACATTGTTTTATTTTTGTTATCATTTTAAAGATAAAGGAGTATGTAAAAAAAGATAAACAAAATGGCATATCGACACTATAGACAAAGCACAAAAGCAATCAATAAGAAAAAGAATAAAAAAAGATAACCATAGCACAATTACCCAATGGCGTAATGTATAAACACCGTGCCACGCTAACATTATATTACCAAAACTGGAATAAATAAAAAAAAAAAAGGTTACAAATATACAAAGCCAATAAAGAGACCATGTTTGCGCCGTTCAGGTGGTTGGGATGTCTTCCTCCATCTTGGATTTTGAAAAAGCAGATAACCATCGGTCTAGACCTTTAATGAAATATGCTAATTTGGAAAGTAGAATGTAATTCATGTTTAAGACTTTTCATGTTTATATAAAAAAATATGTGTTTTATCGTATGTATGGCTGTATTTTACACAAAAACTGAATTTTTTGTTCGATTCACTTTTTTCAACTTTGCCATAAGAGAGAAGGTAACTCAGATAAAAGGGGAGATACTTCAGATAATGTAATTTTAATAATATAATTTATTGTGAATTTACTTAGTGTAATGTGTAGCAAGAAAGCGAGTTCATTGTTTCTTTTTCTTATCTGGAAGCATACTATAAGAGCTACATTGTATCTTCTCATATCTTATCTTTAAATTCTATGGTGTAGTCTTATTTTTATCACACAGAATTGGGTTTCCTATGCATAACTATACAAACATTTGGTTTTGTTATCAAAATGGATTCATAACATTAGAACATAAAAAAAACTACTGTTGCATCTAATGTGCACATACTACATATGCTATATTTTATCAATTTAATAGTATTGTTGCTCAAAGATATAGGTGGTTCATCAGGAGAAAGCGGGTCCGGTGTGATGATTGTTTACCGTCCTGTCACTCCAGTACCATGTGATTGCCATGCTGCTCTCTTGAAGAAGTGTATTTTAGTTTATATTCCAATAGTAGGCTGCTTGGCATCAGCAGGAAATTTAGCAGTGTCGACGATTGTGAGTTGTGCACTTCAGGATATTTTCCCAGTAATAGGCTGTGCTGTTAAAGTCGAAAAGTTAATTAAATTATTAAACTCATCGGTAAGAATTACATGCGTTATGTAGTTTCTTAACACTTTTGATATATATTCAATACTTATACCTGTATTTTTAACATATTGACAAAATACTTTTCTTCGAAAATCTGTAAGCTTGGCGGAATATGTTTTATTGACTTATGACGATTAGAAAAAGAGAAGCGAAAGTTCCCAAACAGACATACAAGCTCATAAGCCGAAAATAAATTGACAACGACATACATTGTGTAGCACAAAAGACCAAAAATACAAACAAGTGAATACAAAACAAAACATAGAAAATATGAGCAACACGAATCCAACCTAAATCAGGGGTGATCTCAGGTGCTCCGAATTGGTAGGTATTGTGCCACATGTGGCACCCCTCTTAATACTCTTATAAAATATGTTGGTACGTTTTATCAAGTGATTAGTCATCACGCAATAGCGGATTAATAATTGACTCTTATCTTACCCTAAGACTTCAACAGATTATTAATTATTTTACCCTTAAAACTTGACCGAATGTGAAATTTTTCAATTGAAAAAATGTTTTTATGACAAAGGATATACAAGTCTGTTGGTGGTATAAACACTACAAACATTCAAAAAATGATATGCACTAAGAATAACACTAAAAACTAAAGCAACACGAACCCATTTAAACAAAAGAAGGGGTGATCTCATGTGCTCCAGAAGGGTAAGCAGATCCTCATGTGGCATCCGTCGTGTTGCTTGTGTAAGTGCAAATCTTAATAAGTCGATTTCGGTTCATCATATTCGATGGAAAAGGAGGTAAGGACTGTGGTTACGACGACTGGAACATATCCGTCGTCATAGTTGAAACAAATTTTTCATAAGGTCAACCAGCTGAGGCGTCTGCAAAACCTTCACCACTTAGAGTTCTTGGTGTAATAGCTTCCTTTCTAATGAATCATGTTTTCATTATAAGAAAATAATTTTGACATAATCCAAATTTCAAATTAAAGGAAACAGTATAACTGTCGATATACATATAATACAAGGATGTTTCTCTGACTAAATAGTACTTGCTTGTATTCTTAACAGCAACGTTATTAATTCATGCATTATTTTAACAATATATTATCATAACTGAAGCTACAAAAATTATGTTTTCATAAACAAAATAATCCTAGCACAGAGGTGCTGACTACTATAAATGTAAATGTCTTGTTTGTTTTGTGAAAATTTCATAAAGATATACGAATATATATAAGGAATTGGCCAACATTAATTTTTTACGGACAAATATTATATACAACTCTCATTCAAGTGATTAGAAATAACAGCAAGAATTACAATACCATATCTATATGACTGAAAACATTATCATCTCTGAAAATAATAATTACATCATTGTTGTCATTCGTCTATTGTAAGTTCGACATCTGAGTTTAGGCATTGAAACACTGATACATCGGCTAATAAATCTAACTCATTCAATGTAAAAGGCGTTAGTTTATAATGAAAAAACAATTTTCTAAGTGATATGTACTGACTGAGCTGTTAACAAAATCTGTAAGATGACACTCGTTGTACCGTAAACATATCATTTGATGATTTCTTTACCAACAGTGCAAGGTGTTCTGTTAGATTAAACTTTGGTAATATAAAGTCATTGTTTTCTGTTTCTTGGTAACGTAAACACAAAAAGTAATGATTTTCAGTATTAATTTTGTTATTAAGTGTCCTGTACGAATTGCTCGAGACCGTGAACACATGCAGGAATGTTTTTTCTATACCAACTGCTGTTAGCTCTTCTGTCAGATTTAATACGTGGTACCGTTATCAAAAAAGTAATGATATTTTGTACCAATATTTCCGTTAGCTAATCTGTTTATCGGATTTAACTTTTCGTACAGTCAATACATATAAAAACGGTTTCCGTATAAATTTTGCAACTTTGTCAACGAATAAATAATAAGTTTGTGTATCAACATTGCAATTGGTGCTCTAGTCTTTAAAAAATCACTCTTGGAACTATAAATGTATAAAGTTATTATTTGATTTCCGTACCATCTTTGCAGTGATATATGCTGTTAATTTCAAATATTCGTAATCCCTACACATAAAAGTAATGGTATTCCGTATAAACTTTGCAGTTATAATTACATGTTCTGTTTCATTTTTTCATAGGATGTAGTAAACACATAACATAATATGTTTAGTGTCATCTTTGTAGTCAAGTCATCAGTTTACATGGTATTTATCATCTCGAATACGGCATTTTATCTTGGGTTCACCTTCATTTTGATAGATAACACTTTTGTAATTAACTTGTATGTTTTCAATGTTTTGTAATATAAGTCCTCGGATTGTAGGGACCAGATTTAAATGTCGCAATTATGGACATGGCCATGTCTTGTGGTGTTAGTCAATTGTGTAGCGTTTGTGGTAACTTATACAAGGCGTTGAGGTAAATTTTTATTTCATTATTCACATTCGTAACAAATAAGCCTAGACTCCTTAAAAAATTTTAATTGATATATCATTAATATGACATTACTACTGCAATCACTTTTTTTTTTATTATCCAATTATGCAATTATTCAAAAGTTCTCTAATGGTATTACATCATGATTCACCACATGCTTTTTACAATGAATATACATGATTCATAAAATGTGTTTAATTAACAAAGCAGTACAACCTTCAAAACATAGAATGATATTGAAAATGATTGATTGTCAAACATATATTTTTACAGATAATTTTACAAATCAATAGAATCATGCTTCCATGATCAAGTTTTACGCCGTCAACGAATATGAACAAATCAAGAACCTGTCCCTAATTGACTTTATGTTTATTTGTATACATGTTAAACTATATCTATCTGTGTTGATTGTATTATTATATTACTATAATTTTTCGGTTTTCCCATTGGCTGAAATCATAGAAGATCCTCTTTGATAAAACGTTATAATTACCGCGGCTCAAATCGAGGTTAATATAAGATATGGAAAGCGTCCTTTTACCTTAATATAGATATTCCAAGGCAACGTCAATGACGTAGGATTAGGACGTCAAGTAAATTCCTGGTTTTTTTTCTTCTTGTTTTTTGTGTATTTTTTCTCTTCTTCTTGTTTTTTGTGTATTTTTTCTCTTCTTCTTGTTTTTTGTGTATTTGTTTTTTAGAAAACTTTATAGAATATTTCACTTTATGAAAATTAGCAAATGCAAGAGCAGATGATATATTCAGTATTAAAACAGGGAGCAGCTTTAAAAGCATCTTAAGCAAATACTTGAAAATTGGAGAAGGATAAAACAATTGTTCACTTTTGATTTCAGTTGATATAATGATGTATCAACGCTAGATATGACATTCAACTTTCACCCTTTGGCGTCGGTGAATATCATATCTCTGGGGTTGATAAATTAATGCATCAACCACATGTAAAGTCAATAATAGTATAATATTGATTATGTTTTTTGTCTCAGATGTCTACAAGAATTGGAAAAGGAATGTGGTAACAAGCGAAAAAGACGTGATGTGAGTTCAGACGTAGTGAACAACGTTATTCTCACATATAAACCAATGAATAATTTCAGATTAATGATGGATGAGTTATTCGGAAGTGAACAAATGTAAGCTCTACATTAAAGGTCAAGTAACTGTAAATATGTATTATTAATGAATTTTAAGATATTTTTCAAACAACTGCATTATTTTAAATCTTAACTTAAAATCAAAAAGAGTCTATTTCAGCAATCTTGTATTTATTTTATCTTTTTATTTATTACTGATAATGTTTTATTTGTTTATTGCTTAATCATGGACCGTATCTGTTGGGTTTCTTTAGTATTCGATAGCATTAAATATAACTGTACAATATATGTTTTCTTACATGTTGAATGCCTCTAAGATCAAGCAGCTGTTCAGTTGATTGTATTTGGCATTTGGTTGTCTTATCGAACATCAGTGAAATCGGTAGGAAACTATGGAGAAAATGTTGAAACAATTTGATGTCTAAATACATTTGATAGACAAAATGTGAATATTCATATTAAATATAAATATTCAGTGCATCTTGCCTTATTTATATCATACTTTATGCACAGCGTGGACAAATTTTATAACTTTTCATTATACAAGATACATATTTATATTTATATATACAGATTCTTCCACTGCATCGAGTGTGATACGATATTTATCCACTCGAGACAGATACATTTTTATATTTAATACGCGAGGCTCGCCAAGCGTTTTAAATATTTATAAGTTAACTGTCGAGAGTGAATAAATATCGTATTACACGAGATTTGGTCATGGAATCTGTTTCTCTAATGATTTTTAAGCACTATGCAGACAAACTTATTCCTTCTTTCAAAATGATCTGCAAAAAGATGTGTTCTTTCTATGTGACGTCATCAGACATGGTCGCCTTTTTTCATGTCGTCACAAAAGGAGATTCAGAGGAAAGCAAGAAAATTCGACGTCATAGTCAGTCGAATTTTGACCAATGAAGAACTTAGATTAATCGACCCACACGTTGATTAAATAAAAATAATCAACATGTCAAGAAAAGGATAAACCGTGTAAGAATTAGAGAAATATATATATATAAGAATATGTGGTATTATTGACAATGAGACAACGAACCACTACATACCAAAGAACAAAGAAATTATCAACTGTAGGACACACCGTACGGCTATCAACAATTATCAAAGCCGATACCGCATAGCCAGTTACCAACTGGCTCCTAGATGGCAAATGTTAAACAATTCAAGCGAAAAAACTAGCAGCCTAATTTGTATACTTAATAATGAACGGATAAAAGGAACATAAATATGTTACACGTCAACAAACGACAATCACTGAATAACAGGCTCCTGACTTAAGAAAGACACATACACAATGTGGCAGTTTAATAGTCTTTTTATATATACAGTCCGCCAAAAGTTAAGCACCACCCTTTCTTTTTATTGCAACGAAAAAAAATTCATTTAAATAAATCAGTTATTCCTAGACAAAGAGAAAACATTCATGGAGCAATTTTGCTAAAATATATCAGAAACAAACCATAAACTTAAATTTGGTCACTTACAAAAAATGTAAGAAGGTTCTACGAATTTAAATTTTGCGTTCATAGAAATAGTGCAAATTACACAAATCAGAAAAGGAATTTAAGTTTCGCTGTGATTTTATTTTTTATCAACAATTAATCACCCAATGTCATTAAAGTTCTCTACAAATAATCTTTGGTATGTTCGGCAAATTTTATGTCAATATTTGAGTCAGTAGGATGTGTAACCACCTCTCTTCAGGTACCGTTTCATAACACGGCGTCTCATACTCTGTACAAGCCTTCTTAACTTTAGTTGAGGAAATCTATTCCATTCATCAACAATTGCCACTCTTAAATCGCCAAGATTTTACAGTAGTGGATCTCGGTGATTGAGATATCTGCCAATGGCATCCTAGACATGTTCGATAGGGTTCATATCTCGAGACATGGAGGCCAAATGATAGTGTCAATGGCTTCTGGCTCTTTGTAATCGGTTACAATCCATGCCCTGTGTGGTCAAGCGTTGTCGTCCATGTACAGGGGTCTTGTCGTAAGTGGTTGATTGTCAAAATGAGGGACTACAATGTTTTTAAGCAGGAAATCCTTGTATTTCTGTCCGTTGGTGTTATCCTGCAGAGTATGCATACCCAGCTTACAACGGTATGAGAAGCAACCCCAAACTGTAACACCAACAGCACCAAATGCAGCCGTTGGGCAAATGTTGTTTTGGTCATAGGCAAGTTTATTTTACCGCCAAACTCGTATTCTGCCGTCTACTGAAACCGACTCTCATCTGACCAATGAATTTTTTGCCAGCTTCTCATGTTCAAGCGTCGACGGTCATTAGCCCATTGAAACCTGATTATACGGTGCCTGGCTGTTAGGGCAGATCTCTTGACAGCACGACGTGCTCTGACGTTGCCTCCATGAAGTCGACGAATCAATGTAACACGACCACCTGGAGGCCAGTGGTGTCTAATCAGGAGTAAATGGGTTGGCTTAAGCACGACGAATAAGCAGTCTGTCATCATGACGGGATGTTAAACGGGGTCTTCCGGACCTTGGTTTATCATTTACTGTTTCTGTGTCAACATGACGTTGTAAAAGTCTGACAATGACGGTGTGATTAACATTGACATGATTTCCCATGCTCCTAGTACTCCTATCGCATACCTACACCTTGTCATATTACACAATGATTTGATGAAGGTCAAACTCTACCTGTACGCGTGACAGTAGGAAAATTATTTAAAGGTATCGAAACAGTGTATTTGTAAAAGTGCAGATGACCTTTAATAAAAATTGTCTGACGGGTTTATCTGAATTTAATCTTTTTGGTCGTAATGAATTTTCTTAGTGTATGTTTGTTTTGTTCACACATCGTTGTCAACATAATGGAATTTGATGCGACTGTCATACAAGTAAGAGGTTTAGCGCTTTAAAACCAGGTTTAATCCACCATGTTCTACATAAGAAAATGCTTGTACCAAGTCAGGAATATGACAGTTGTTGTCCATTCGTTTGATGTGTTTGTGCTTTTGATTTTGCCATTTGATTAGGGACTTTCCATTTTGAATTTTCCTCGGAGTTCAGTATTTTTGTGATTTAACTTTTTAAAAGCAACTCATAACACCAAACATTTATAATTTTTTCGCAATAGTTAAAAAAATATTGCCAGTTATATTTAGGTGGTGCTTAATTTTTGGTGGACTGTATATATATTTTAGGTTTAGTGTAAACAAAGAGTGGTATCCTGCGTTTAAAACAGTTATTTCTGATGACAGCGAAAATGGTTCGAAACTTTCAAAAGACGAAAAGTCATTTGTGTTGAACACTTTAACAAGTAATATCTCAAAACCCATCTTGGACAGATTTTTAGAAAGATGGAACAATACAGGTGCGTACTTTTTTGCTTTTAAAAAAATCTTCAGACCTTTTTGTGAAATTGAAATAAAAGTACCAATGAATATAATATGGTGTCTTGCTTTCAAATATTGATATAAATATTGTTTGAGTTACATTGATCTGTACTGTTTTTCTTCGACGACGCAACATTAAATGGTTTATCAATCAAATGAGTTTTCGCAGACGTGTCCACAGAAGAACACAAATTGTGTAATTTTAAAGTATGTTTGCTTCCAATTCATCTACACAATGATTTCGCGTTGATAGATTCAATAAAGACAAACCTCTTTTTTACTTCTTTTTAATTTGAAATACTTTGCCTTTACACAGGCATTTGCATGTGAAAATGTATATATGTCATATTCCATGCCATATTTCTCTAAACAAGGGAATGATTGGCTGTTTATCGGTTAACAATCCAATTTGAAAAAAATGACTTTATACTGAATCAGCTAAAGGCAGATTGTTTGTTAGATGTTCACGAGACAATACTATTTTGAAATGCATCGACCTACTGATCATTATTCCAATCCGGATTACTTTGCAAACCAGTTGAAGCTTACTGTGTAACTGTGTACTGACAATGTATTTAGCATACACATTTAAAAAAGGGACATGTTTAAAACAACGTAAACCCTTTTAATAGAGCATTTTTATGACTTTAGTTTGTCTCTAAAATTTTGGTTTATAAACTTTAAAAAAAATTGGAATGTTTATTTCCTAAGGAAAAGGTTTAATTTAGTTACTGATGAACACATGAATCATTATTGTCCTGTTGTTCTTTATTTTGATAGTTGATAAATGCCTACAGGTAAATAAATACTCCACTATTTCATTTGTCTTTCGGGAAGACAAATTAACAAATCAACAAATCAGTCTTTAGCCTTTACATGACAACCATTCTTTGATTGATTGGTGATCGTTTAATTTCGTTCGGCATATATTGATTGCATAATGCGGTAGTCTTGATCCTTCGTTATGCCGAAATCACCGCTACAGACAATCTTACGAATAGATAATCAATAGTACTGGTAATGTCATCATGATCAAAGTACGACCTTAAACACGGAGACTTGGTTCACACCAAAACAGCAAGCTATAAAGGGCCCCAAAAATGACTAGTATAAAACCATTCAAACAGGAAACCCAATTGTTTAATCTATAAAGAAAATGAGAAACGAGAATTACTTATGAATCAGATCAACAAACGACAGCCGCTGAACAACAGATGCTTTTTTTCAAGGAAATAGTACATTTAACATAGTGTTTCATAATGTGGTAATAGAGAGCTTGTTTAATAGCTTTCAAACCACATTCGGCAGATATCTATATTTGACAAACAATATCAATGTGATTAAGATGATTGTTAGCATTATTTCAGATTGGTTTCATATTCTTTATATCTATACTATCATAGTTTAATTGTTTATGAAAAGATTCATTAAACTTTCATTTTTCGATGTAATGGAAAAAACACCCAAAAAAGATATATAAATGATATATTATATAGGAGTCAATCAAAAGTTCATGTGAAAAGATGCAACCATGACGTAAAGAAAACGAAATAAATAACAAACGGAATGCATAACATACATCACTGATAACTTACTATTGACCAACACAAAACAACATCAACTTCCGAGGATGTGCACGGGTGATTCTCAAAGATAAACAACTGTTGCTCCTCTAGTAAAGGATCAAATTATCTAAATTTTGAAACTAATTTTTCCATTCCTATTTATAGTTTCAGCATGGTACAATGGGACTTTAAACCTAGAAATCAAAATTGGAGGCGTTATAAACCTTTCTACACTTAGTATGATGACGCGTCAGTATATCAAAGACACCAAAACAGCTGCCTACAGGGGTTTTGATTCAATTTTCAGTGATTTTGATCATGCTTTGAATGCATATGTTTTGGCCGAAAAGGAAACACAAGTTTGTATAATTATAATTCATTTTAAAGCCTACGTACAACTTGTAATAAAAATGAGATCATCCAAAAGAAATATTAGAAATGGTTTTACAAAGATGGACGCAAATGACGAAACAAAATTAATAGTCCTGAAAATATTATTTCCAAAATAAAAAGATTTAGTAGCACAACACCTACAACAAATTGCATATAGAAAAACCGCTATGTGTCACATATGGATGTATAGGAATCATACTATAACTTTTATACTGCCTTGGAAACTTCTAAATAGATGTCATGGCTTTATAGTCAGTGTAAATGTGCATGATGGATGATGCACATATGGCATGAGATGATTATTCTGCCAACGCAACCGGTATTGCTAGATTAATTCAATTCTCTAAGTTTTTGTTTGTAATCTTTATATGTCTTCCCTTATGGATAACAAGTTTTGACAAATAATAAACTACTGTCGTCTTTATGTTCGTTTGTGAAGAATGAATGGGATGAAAAAAGTACGTATTATGATTCAAGATTGGTTGTCTCACTTATGTGAATTCCCAGACTGGTGTTCATGTTACACCCACTGGCATATGCCTTTGGTATGTAATATTAAGGAACCAAGACTTTATATGCAGGGAAGCGAAATCACAGTAAAAAGTTAAGGAAACGGGAAAAAAACAATATACTTATGAACTCAAAATTGTCAAATTCTTTTACAAAAGTTGCGCTTGCTATTTACCCTGTTCCTGTTCTTATGAATGATATCTTATAAAATAAGTTGATGTGATCCATGCATAGGATCTGCTTTTAACTGGTGTTATATCTATGCCTATGTCCAGATAAACTTATTAGTAAAAGCATGCAAGTACTGTATAATATTTGAAAAAAATAGTAGATATATATATATATATATATATATATAAACAAGTCTAAATTGTAAACAACGTTCAAACCTATGATTGCGTTGGATAAAAACCGCAATTTTTATACGTGTGCATGCAAAACAAATTTCTTGTTAGAGGGGTCTAAATACAGCACAAACAACATTTTCCAAAAGACCAAAAAAGTGAAAAAGTATAGTTTAACAAAACGCATTTGACTAACAGGTCGAACAACAAATGTTCTTAAACCCTGCTGACTGCCATTGGCGATTGCCAAATAAATATATATATAGTGATGGGTCAAAGTTTGTGATTGGATAACAACACAGAGATGTTAGTATATATTCAGGAAACTGCCGGGGTACATACGACGTTTTTATCCCGAATCGGAACCTCAAAAACGTCACCATAACACAGGTTATTATGTGACGTAGTCAAAAGCTATACAGAACACTAAGGAATGTCAAGGCTCGCAGAGGGAACATAATGACGTGCATCAGTCGATAATATATGTTATCTCGAACAGCGGTATACTACTGTTGCCTTTATTTAATACAAAATCACGCAATTTAAACATTAAATACTTAAATTTAATTTAAAAGTGTTATTATAAATTATTGCATACACGATAAAATTATTTTCACAGCAAATTACAAAATCCTTCACGTATGCCAAACATATCAGGTTAGGTTTTTCAATATGTGTATTGTAAAAAACAAAGCCACACACACATACAAACAAAAAATATGAAATCTAAAAACTTTATTGAAATCATGTTCTTAACGGAAAAAAATTGTCAAAAAAAAAAAGGTGCATTTAAACGGATTACTCAAAATATATAGAAACAATAAACATGTAATAATATATACATGCTGCATCAGGAATGTTTAACAAATAGGCAAACCTGCACTGGAAAAAAACATTAAGGCGGGGCTAATCCGTAATATATGTGTAATTCAGGTCTCAGACAGGGTTTATACTGTGACATTCCCTGGCTTAGGGCTTATATTGATATAAACTCTAAGCTGAGAATGTCACAGAATATACCCTCTGAGACCTGAATAACATATTATATATAGAAACTTAAAAAACATATACTATTGGGTACCACACTTCCGTTTTAATCTGACCATCATCCATGCAGCATCGTAAATATATCCCTTTTTGTTAGATAGCTAAGACGGTGTTTACCTATTTATACTTTTCCGGTTGTCGTTTTTTTTAAGATCATTGTGAAGGTCAGTCAATAAAATAGCTTTACATACACAAAATTCATAGTGTATATTTTTTTATAGCAAGGAGGGGGCAATGAAAAGGACGGTGCAATATGTGCCAAGGTCCGTGTAAGAATTGTTCAGGATCTTGTTCTAACCAGAGATGCCTTTAATGCCCGTTTTGAAATCGAAAACGGCGAAAACTCAGCTCTTGAAAGTATCCATGTTGAAATTGAAATCAAGCACAACTCTGGATCAGGAGAAATTGTTAATGGCTTATTTGCTATTGGTAAGAAGAAAACGATATTGTCTTGTAACCACCGCCATTCTGTAATAAATCAACTTCAATCCATAATACTACGTGTGCGTCAGTCTATGAAAAAAGTAATATCACAAAAATACTGAACTCCGAGGGTTCATGATAATTAAAAACCAGAGTAAACTCGCATATCTCAATTATAAAAAGCTCGATATACCTTCTTTATTATACTATTTTTCCAATTATGTTCGGAAAATCTCAGCCGTCCGTCTAGTAACTGTAGCTAGTGAATTACTAAAATTGCGAATGGAAATGGGATATATGTCAAGGAGACAACAACCCGACCAAAGAGCCGAAAAGAGCCGAAGGCAAATGGGTTTTCAACGCAGCAAAAAAAATGCTGCACCCAGAGACGGGCTTCATCTGACCCCTAAAGAAAAATGTGTATAAGTTCAAAGAAAATAGACGCCATACTAAACTCCAGAACATATAGGTAAACTAGAATTTAAAAAAATATACAAGACGAACTAAGGCCAAAATGCGACGGGTTTAAACATGTTTTGTTTGATCTCATTCCAACTTATATCTACACCGAAACACAAGATATCTATTGGTATTTGTTCGGCCAACTTTTCTTTAAATCGGGCTGAAAAAAATGAAAACATACGTTAAATACATTCCATACGTCCTGAGCGCTTTCTCGATTTACCTTCATCTCGACGCTAAAAGCCAAATATTTGAAAGCCAGTGATTTATAATAACCGAAACATTTGAGGAACATTATGACCAAAAAGAACCTAAAAATAGCCAATCCATCTAAAGTCAACTTTGCATGAGGGAGTTAAAAACCTTTTATGTATATTTTCAAAACACTGATTATTCATTGCTAAAGATACCAAACAATTTCTGAAACTCATCAGTCGAAAACAAACTGACAATGCCATTATGATGACGGTCAAAAGACATACAACACACAAAACATAACATACAAAACAAGAGACAGAACAATACAAATTAAAGTCAGTAGGAGTGATATAATTACCAATGACACTAATAATGCACTGAAGACCAACAGACCAGGATGTAAACAGGTTAAGGTCACTGTACTGCCTTCAACCATTCAAAAACCGTACCGCATATTGCACGATTTAATTGAACTCATGAAAATTAAAACAGAACTAGGTGCCTTTCATGGAAGAATAAAAAAAATCCTTTTGATATTTGTTGAACTATAAGTCGATATATTATTAATTTAGTGTTAGATTTATTAAAATAGGCAATTACGAATTTCCTTTTTTGTATTTCTGAATTTTTCATTTGTTAAGTGCCGCTTCCTAGATGTGTTTTGAATCTGAAAGCACTAATTAATGGAACAAATCATCTACTATATTTGAATAACAACATAATACTAGTTTACGCAGAAAAGTCGTTAGATTGAACGAATTATACGTAATTTATGTAAGCCATCTACTTTTCAGGAGACCCAGATTTATTAGGATTGACAGGGGTAGACGGTAATGGTCGACTAGGAGTTGATTTATCTGGATCAGCAGAATGGTTGATCATTCCGTACTCCATAGCAGCACCCAATGATGATGTATTGTTTTATGTTGGTGGCAGATTGTCCTATCGGGTAGAGGGATCAAACTTCTCTGTTCCTTTGCTACCAGACGCAATCACAGTTAAGCCGAACCCAAGTCTGGTGCTACATTATTTTCATGAAAAATATGTTAGAGGGGATGATCCCTTGACAACTGAAAAAGAACCAGTCATTCCATTTACTTTAGCAGTTATGGTAACGAATTCAGGGTACGGGATCGCCCGAGGTCTTAAAATATCATCGGCGCAACCACAAATTATAGAAAATGAAAAAGGATTACTTATCACTTTTAAAATAATTGGCGGTTTCTTGGGGAACGAACCAATTACACCTTCTCTTATTGTGGACTTTGGGGATATCAAATCTTTCGAAACAAAAACAGCAAGATGGATGTTGACGTCAACACTGCAAGGAACTTTCTATAATTTCAGTGCAACATTTGAGAATATAAATCCATTGGGAGATCCACAACTTTCTCTTTTTGAAAATGTATGGTATCATGAACTTATTCATTTGGTTAGACTCTTCAGAGACGGTGAGGATGATGGCTTCGACGATTTTTTGGTGAATGACTTTGTTGATAATAAAGGGATACCAGAAAGGTCTATAACAGTGCAAACGGATCTGATGTGTATAACGTTATTACTGCAACTGAACTTGGATTATCGTCAAGCACGTTCGTAAAGTCTAATATGAAAACATATACTCTAGTTTACATGGAGGTACTCACTAGAACGTCAAACTGGTTTTATGCAAGGGTAACAAATAATGTCACAAGTCCTGATCAAACTCTGCTTTCTGTCAAGTCAGATGATAATCGCGATATAGTAGTTGATAAAAACATATGGACTACCACTCATATGTTAGACTCGTATCTTATTCATTTGTTTGACTTTATAAAAAGCAATAATAGCGTGGCGGAAAATACAAAAATGAAATATTCGTTAACGTTTGGTCCAAAAAATATGCATCCTCCAAAATTCAACAAAACGTCTTATTCGATAACAATATCCCCGGACACTCCGAAAGGAAAGCCTATTCTTACTGTTCACGCGTATGATGTTGATAAAAATGAGATCACGTATGACCTTATTGGTTTAAACCACGGGTCATTTGATATAGAACCTCATAATGGAGTTGTTACTTTATTGCAAATTCCATTAGCTATTGGTGAGTTTGAGCTTCAGGTAATATGCAGAGATGACGGTATCCCATCGCTGTCAGGTGTTGTCAACGTGAATATTTACGTGATATCTAGTGAAATGATGACAACAACTTTAATAAAGTATTCAGAAACGTCAGCTGACATTTCAGTGACATCACAACCCAACAACTCAGTGAGTGATAAAACGACAGTACCAGCTAGTTCAAACAGTGCACTCGATATAACAACCAAATTATCGGGCGATGAAACGACAGAACAAGATACTTCTACAGGTGTAGTTGATGCGACAACCGATTCTTTGAGTGATACAACAACAGATCACGATAACACTAAAATTACAGTTGATACGACAACCAAATTATCCTTTGACAAATCAATAGAACAAGATATCTCTACAGGTTCAGTTGATGCTACAGTCGGTTCATCTAGTGACAAAACACCAAAATCTGATACTTCTACAATTTTAGTGGACTCGTCAACAAAATCATCAAGTGATAAAACAACAGAACCTGCTATTACATCAGGTGCAGTTGAAGCAACTACCAAATCTTCTATTGATAAAACAACAGCAGATCAATTTACTTCGATTAATGCAGTAGATGTAACATCCAAATATTCGTTTCATAAAACTAATTTTCCACATTCATCGACAACTGCATATGGAACGACACTGGGGACATCGTCTGCAGTAAACCAAGTATCACACACTATACTTTTAATCGCCTCAAACTTTATAATACTTAGTCTCAAATTGATTGACTAATGAGATAATCGGAAAAAAAAAAGAAGATTTTTTTAATCACAAGATAGTCAAATTTCAAGTAGATTATATATAGCAGAACGTCATAGTTAGGATAACACTACTTGTTAATTTTGGAAAAGGTACTTCATTGAAAGGATCGATTGGACGCAAAGGAAGATTTAATATTTGCGATCTTCAAATCCATAGCTGACGTCACAACTAATCGCATTTGGTATTATCAGTATTGTCATACCTGCTACGAAACGTATTGATCTTATATTTCGTCAAAGTCGGTATCATCAATATCTAAATTTAGTTTTTTTTACAATATATCCTTATTTTCTTGTTCACTGGACTGTTTATTTTTTTGCATTTAAAAATTTGATACAGTTTGGTGTGAATGTTTGTAAGACATTATCAAACTTTTAAGGATTCATTTGAACTGTGACAGGAGCAAAATTCAATATCTATTTCGTCTTCCTATTTGACTGTTACATTGAGTTTTAGAGTAAGCATTTAGATACAGTTAACAGAAGTAAGCTTCTTCATAACCATCTAGAGAAAAACAACATTTCTCCCATGTAATCGTTCTTTTTTCACTAAACATTTAAGGCACAGTCTGAAAATTTTAAATCATGAATAATTGTCTCAAACTTCACGACATAGTTTAAAATGTTACAAAGGCGTCTCCATAATCAATAGAAAGCAACATTCATTCCATTTTAACACGAACATTGTTTATGTATTTTACTTATTTAACACAATTTTAGCAGTCACCAGTATTCTTTTACATTGATAACAAAATAATAGAAGTCATTCGAGAAACATGTATTGTGTGCTCGAAGATCATATCATACGTTTTAAAGGATATGCAAATTGCATGAATCGAATCTGATGTTGACAATTGCAATATATCAAAATATCAAAATACTTTTAGAAATATAAGTAATAATTTCAGACATAAAAGATGCTATGTTACGTTTGTCCTTTGGTTAGGTTTCCATAATTAATTTGACTGATCTATTTCTTTGAAGTTATATCCATTGTGCATCCTACAGAAAACGTTATCTGCGTAACAGAAGTTAAAGTACTTTGGTGACGACCAGTTGATTTTGATCGGGAAAGAAGACAGCATTTGTTTAACTTTTTAGAAAAGCCGAAAACAAATATTCTGGCCAGGGTCTAAGTGAAAACAGATAATCTGGCAGCCTCTAACTTGGAAATAAATATTCTGACCTCACTAAATTAGCCAGTCCACTCCCCTGATTAATTGGTCGTCCCTTAATCAGTTATTTGTAAATTTTATATTAACCGGAATGTAAAATATATATAATTCAGAAAATATAAAGTGAAGTAAAGTGTGTGTTGTAGTTGTACACAACAGTTGTATGCTGTTGTTTGTCTCCGATTCCCCACTCAGATAATATTTTTATGATAGTCAAAGCATTGACAACATGTTAAACTGGTATGAAACAAAAGTGAAAACCACAAATGTATCAATTAAATTTTTATTTAGATATCATATTTTCATCAAATATGTAATAATTTGCTGAAAGTTCAATTAGGAAAGTAAGAGTCAAAGATTGAGTGTTATTTTGTTCCAAACAAATTTCTATTGCTTATTAAATCACCAGAGATTTAAAAAGTGATTGAGATGAGTCCAAATTTTTACACTCTATTGCTGGAGTCCTCGACATAATATTCTCTGGAAATGAAGATTTTGGTTACCTTCCGGCTTTGAATATTTGGAAATCTGATTAAAATAAGACACCATATTGCAAGAACCTTAAAGGACGCACGTAGAACTGCGATAATATGAATTTAAGGAAAGATTGAAAGACCTTTTTTAAAATGAGCCTGTGTAAAATGGTGGGGGAATTGGCCTTAACGCTTTATAACCTTTAATAATTTTTCGGTATGTTGACCTTTGTTTTATGTTTTCAAACAATAATGTCAGTAAATACTATAAAATCACACACACATATATATAAAACAAGGAATCATTTGGTATCGCAGAAGTAAGTGACATAATTATGTTTATTGCTTACTTGAAAATTAGGAAATAGTAAGGCCGAATAAGTTTTTAGTTATTCATGACCTGCATGACCTGACAACGAACAAATCCAAAAATAGCAACACATGTTTTAGCAAAGAGGAATCTGTATGTATAGGCACAAACATAGTTCCTTATCTTTCACCATTAGTTTGTTATTCAAAATGTTCAAAGTGACAAAAGAGGTTGGAACCAAAAATATGCATTTATATTTATTGATCCGAAATGTGTTACGATTATGTCTTTATGTTAAACATCTGTGACTAGATATGTTTACTTTAATATATTTATTAGGTAATTATCTGAATATTATTCCCATATAATTGCCATTTAAAAAAATACTAGAATTATTACGTTACTTTTCCATCCTCCAATTTTGTTAGTACTTTCTTTTCTATTTCTGTTGTTTCGACTAAATGCCTCGACATGACTGTCTATTTATACATCCCGCCTATCAAAACTGACGCCCTCTTCGAATGGGTTTTCAGAGTCGGCTAGATGAGGTCACAGTGATCATATCTTGATAAACCAAGTCAACTCTTATATTTAAAAAATGATATTGATATTAAAAGATCGTTATTTATCATATTATATTTTCATATTTTCTTATCCTCAGATCTTAAAAGAAGAGATCATTACAGGTGTTCCGGGGAAAATCAATTTTTTGTCAAATATCATCTTTTTATTGGCTGTGCCTACCGTAAGGAACTATTTATTGTGCTCATGATTAATCTGCTAAAAAATTACGCTGACATTTATCGAAATAACGTTTTGCAATTTCTTTTTAAAAACATCGTGTCAACTTTTTTTTGTAAAATCAAATCTGTAAAAAAGTTTCAAAGCCACATATACCATTATTTTAAACGTTTTATCTGCCTGGCTTTATTTTGTTATTATAATCGCAAAGTATGTGTAAAGTGTATTTCCGATATGTTAAGTAAACTGAATTCGATATCACTACTACGATTTGGTTGTTAATTTTTCATTTCTTTTTGACTGTCGGTCCCCATACAGTACGCCTAGAGACCGTGATGAAATGAATGAACTAGTAAGATAATTGCTTACATCCACTTCATTTGAACTTTGGTGGATAGTTGTCTCATTGGCAATCTATCTTAATTTTAAAAGATGTAAACAGAATCATCACTGGGCAATTTTGTAACGATCGTTTTGCACAAATGACAAATAAGTAAATTGTACAAAAAGTCATGCTATTGACATGAGTAGGAAATTGTGGTGGAGTTTGGTAGTTTAACAGATGTTAAAACGTTTAATAATTTTTTTCAAATAACTTTTATACAGTTTTGTGATGCAAATATAAAAGTCATTCTGTTACATGTTATTTTTGTTGGGTTCGTGTTGCTCAGTATTTCGTTTGCTATGTTGTGTTTTGTGTTTTGTATATTGTTGTTAATCTGTTTGTCTTTTTTCCTTTTTATCCATGGCGTTGTCAATATATTTTGAACTTATGAGTTTGGATGTCTCTTTGGTAGCGCTTATCTTTTAATAAATAAATATTAATAATTTTAGTTATTTTTTAAACTGTTGTGTGATGCATATGCGTACATTTAAGTTATTATGTGCTTTGTTTTTTTTAATATGCTAACCATTTATATATATTGCTTAAATTGAAACTTTAACAAATGTTGGTTTTTTTTTTGTCTATCTGAAATATTGTTTTATGATTTATATAAATATTATATGGTGTAAGTTTAACAGTAGCTGTATTTAGAATAAAAATGAATTTGGACAAAACATTATTTATTTTGCTTTTAAAATAATTTCAAATATTTAAAAGAAAAATAAACATGTAGAAACTAGAGGCTCCAAAGAGCTTATATCGCTCACCTACATCTTCAACAATGGCCACTTTTAAGAAATAATCATCAGTAATAATTATATTTAGAGTTAACTGACAATTTCAGTCATGTTGACATATTTGTAGATCTTATCTGCTGCTAATTATCTTTTTTAAAGATTCTATTAATCTATTATTGTTTTCAAGATAACAGGCAATAAATGCAAAAAAAATGTAAAAAATTATTATTAAAAGGCAATAACTCCAATAAAGAGTTGGCTGAAGATTTGGCCACTATTGCTTATTTGTGGATCTTGTCTTGTTGATTTTTTTTGCTACATGTGTATTTAAAGTTTCTATCTATCTTTTAGTTTTTATATAGATATTAAGCAAAAATGGAAACAAACGTCATTAAAGGACAATAACTTCAATAAGGAGTCGATTAATAATTTCGGTCATGTTAACTTATTTGCGGTTCTTGTCTTGCCCTTGAAACTTTGGGAAGAAACAATGGAATTTCTCTGATTTTTTTCATGTCCCCACTATGAGGAAGGAACACAAATTCAAAAAATCCCTTCCAAAGACACTAAAATTTCACCCCCCCCCCCCTCCTACAGTCATTTCTCCATACTTTCATTCATCATTACAATGCCAATGAGACAGCTACATGTATCCAATAGGCCACCGTACGGTCTTCAAAAGAGTTAATATTAAGTGTTAGTAAGCAATTATAGGCCACTGTACAGCCCCCAACAACTAAAAAAAACTCATACTGTATAGTCAACTGTAAAAGGGCCGACATGAAAATGTTAAACAACTCAAACGAGAAAACTAACAGTCTAATTTATAACAAAACAATTTCCGAAAACAAATACATGTATGACATTAAAGACCTGAACCGATGACAACCACTGTACTACCGGCTCCAGACGTGAGACAAGCACATAAAGAATGTGGCAGGGTAAAACATGTTTGTTAGCGCTCAACCCTCCTATAACTTGGTACAAAGGTGGAACTGCACAACACAAGATCAAACTGTAAAATTTAGTTGCAATTCACAATTCAACAGATCGGCAAGAGGCATTAAAACTAAAGACGCAAAGCACCGAAAAAAATAGTACTCTTTGTTACTGGCAGCTAGTTCATAGCCAGTTACAACTAATAAATTAATCATGTTGTCCCAGACTAAAGTATCAACTAGTAAACATCCAACAGATTTATTGTAAAGACATCATACACAGCATAAGAAACGCATAACCTTGTGCAATGCCAAAATATAAGTAAACAGTATCTAAAGGATGTAGAATCATACGTTTTCATAACTGTACATATATAGCAACATATAGTCAGTTGTGTTTAAATTTTCCAAAAACATAAAAACCATGTTTTTGCCATTAGGCAGCTAAAATGCACATACTATTCCAACGAGATAATGTCTATTATCAGCATCAATTAAGATTGAAATGATTTTACATTTTAAGAGCTTGATTTAAGGAGACAAATTATGTCTTGTTGATCCTTACATTTTGTGTTCAGTATATATTACTTCCCTTTAGCTACTGAAGTCTCATTTCATATCCGAACAATTCAAGGAGATTTTTGTCTGATAGAATTTATGAAAAAGTACCACTGGTGATATGCTGGCACCTAAAGACCTACATAGCTAGTTTTGTGTAGCCATGACATACGTAATCTAGATCCCACTTATAGATAAAGTATCATATCAAGAATATACAAATAAAAATGCAATAACTGGCTTCCGTAAAATTGTTCACAACCAGTACACGCAATTTTAAGGTATGTCAAATAGATTTTTTTAACATAATATTGTGTTGGGCTTTGTTTTTTCATATAATATTCATGTACTTGATAGACCAAATACTTCAATCGTTATGTATGATCTTTAAATAAACTGAAATTGTACACCATGAATACCTCATAATTTGTTTCATTCATATTTAAAAAGCAAGGTGTTTTCTTTTCTTCAAGTAACGTAATTCGATTAAATTGACAATAGTGGATTTCATGCATGTAGGTGCATATTTTTAGTCTTATATTACATGATATCAATAAACCTATATGTGATTTAGTAATACTTGTTTGTAGTAATTAAAAACATACGAAACAAAGAAAAAGGATTACATGATTTATACAAGGATACAAAAGAAGTTACCTTTTGACAGGAAGGAATACACGAATATGTTTAATATTTCATGCAATAAAAAGAACATATGAATAATACTTAATTATATGAGTATTATTAAACGTTAAAACTTTATGATGTAAACATGTTGAAATACCGAAACTTATCTCGAACGTCCTTGTGTGTATTGAAAAGGCGGAAAACTTTATATATAATCATTTACAATGAAGGTATGTCTTTTTATTCATAATTATAACTGTGATATTTGTAGAGGAAACGGGAAACAAGGAGGCCAATATTTCATTTTGTTATAAAATTGCCCTAAAATAGGTAAATAAATATATATTTTGTGTATTGTACTTTTGAGCTAAAATCAATAAGACTGGAAAAAAGCATTACATCTGCTAACAGCAAATATCTGAAGGCCAAACATTTATACAAACTACATTGTAAGCTCAAAATTACACAGACTTCTGACGATCATGACATCCGAGACTACTGATTTGAAAATTATATATGTATACATCTTTGTGGTGCGGTTCAACTAGTTAGAGTTCTCCTCCCTCTCATATTATCGCGGTCACCGAAGATAAAATAGTGATAAAATCGACCATAACAATACACGACTAGGGGGATATTAATTTTATTGGAGCATAAAATACTAGTATCTCGTAATAGAAATTATCGAAGTACTATAGTTTGTTATCAACAATATAGTATTGCTCTTAAATTTGATTTAATTTAATCAATAATACGTATGCTTACATTTGGTTATGTTGGTATTGCAATGGCTTTTGGTTGACTCCTCTATAAGCGTACTTATTTTGAGCTCACATATTAACTAATATATGCTTATATGGCCTTCAAACTAGCCTTGAATTAAAAAATTAAAAAATAGTTTATTTTTTATATTGTCAAAACTCTTGATGTCAACTGTTAAATACATTACAATATCCTACCTTTTTTATTTTGAGGAATTCTCATTTACAAGAAATCAATGCACCCATTTAAAACAACCAATTTAAATTCTCACCATCTTTTGTATAGACTTTGATATTACAAACCTCGTTTACATGCTTGCAAATATGATCGGTTAAGAGAGATTAACCTCAAATGTATTATGCGTTTGTAATTTTCTGCTTCATCAATGATTCTTTTAGCACTCATGTGGAACAGAATACAAATAATATATGATATTTCGAAGCTTATGGTATATTTGCATTTATGAAAATGGTTGACATAACGTAGCAGGTGATTTTTAATAGTCGGAACATAGGCCTATCTCCGTAGGAGAAAATACATATTTAGTAATCTACTTTGGTAGGGAGAGCGTTGTCCGAATGTGAGAAAACATGTCCAAAAAAATTCTTTCTGTAATAAATATATGATAGCTTGAATGTTACACACCATACAGGTGGATTGTATGCATACGATCCAGTCGCAGTTTAATGAGTACTAAGGCCTAGCTCATTAATCAATTTACACAATTAAAGTAATTAGCTATTGTAAACATTACACTATTGTTTATTGTTAAACGCATTTTTGAGTGCTGAGTTATAATATGAAATGATACCGACGTTTTTCATAATTCATAAATGCACTATATATATTTTTTTTCAGCAGCAGAAACAACGCATTAAAAACCGAAAAGAATTTCAATAATTTGAAAAGGACACAAAAATGAATATAAAGATAAATATATTTGGAAATTGGTGAAAGATGAAAATTTCATCTGCATCTTAATTGCAAATTGACATTGAAAAGAACAGATATATAGATACATTAACGCTGAGATGAGCATTGTCAGTTATTGGTATATCTTGCAGTGCTCGGTATTTTAGGAATAAAGTATTGCAAAAAGTTTTAATATATTCATTTCTCCAACTCAAACCTAATAACAACTAGATATTTTATAATCATCAGACATGGTGTCGTATTTATTTTGCTATTCAGATTAAACGTATAAATCTGTGCAAATGGAAGGAACGATCGATGTAAAAAATTACTCGATTACTTTAGACAATATTCTCGAAACTATTGGTGCGTCAGAATACGTCCGTCGAACACAACAACATGGATATATCATGCAAGAACTTCTGATCTCTGCAACCCAACCTATAAATTTGGTAGTGCAGTTGAAGGAACAACAACTTCTGGTCTAAACTTTGATCAAGACTGTCTGATATGCGTTGACCGTCCTCCGGTAATCGGAGAAATTTCCAAAAAGGGTTTGACAGAATACCTTTTAATGATAACAGATGAAAATACACTCCTGGATACACAAAGCTACAAAATGTCGTCAACAATGAACCACTGAATCTTGAAGAGATGGAGGATGAAGATGAAGGAATCGATATAATGGGAAACCGGGTTTTAGGGAATAGATTTCTGATAGAAAGCATGACAAACGATGAGATACATGGACCTGCGGGAACCACTTTGAAAAGTAAAAAATTGCCAGGAGTCCCAGATCTAGACTTTGTGCCGTCATACAGATGTCGGACATGGCCAAGACAGGCTTATAGTTGGTTATCCAGACAACGCCCATACGGCATTCCAAATGCTGAGATGATTGGAAAATTCACTACTTATGGATGCTTTTTAGTTCCTGTTGGTCAGTACGTGAGCCCCGAAAAACATTTACAATGGAAACTTTCATTTTCATTCCAGGAACGACAGATAATCTTCAGTATGAGCTCAATTCAATTTAAAACTTTCATTTCCTTGAAGATGATCAAAAACAATTTTGTAAAAGCCAGAGTACCTCCAAAATCGCTGACGTCGTACCATTGTAAAACGTGCATGTTCTATATTATGGAAACTTCTCCGTCTAGCATATGGACGTCAGAAAATCTGGTTCAGTGTATCAGTCTGTGCTTACAAAAGCTTTTTCAGTGGTTTAAAAATGGCTTCATTCCAAGTTACTTCATTGCAGAGGAAAACCTTTGGAAAGGAAATACTGATACACGTGAAACAATTGTGGATATTTTGGGATCACTCCTAGAAACTACACCAATATATCTTACAGAGATCAAGTGTGATTCCACTACAAACCAGTAAAAGTCTGAAATGGCCTATATCTGTACTCGACTGTACTGATTTTTACTCGACCAGTCTGAATTGGTCTGAATTTTACTCGACATTACTCGACCCCAGTCTTAACCTTACTCGACCGTACTGATTTGTACTTGACCCTTATCTTTGCCATTGAAAATAGTCTGAACTATTACCCGACCAGTCTGAAACAGTCTTAACCCATTCTCGACCTGTACTCGACCAATTTTTTCAGTCTAAACCATACTCGACCAAAGGTCTGAACAATTCTCGACCAGTCTGAACCATACTTGACCAAAAAACCTATACTTTTTTTAATTTTAGCTTTCAAAATTAATTTCTTTTTTCTGACATGACAACAGCCACAATAAAATAAAGATAATATATAAAAACATATTTTTACATCCTTACATGATTCTCAGATTTATCAAATAGAGATAGTTAAATTAAATTATCTTATACAATAATTTAATTATATTAATTGATTTTAAAGTTTTATAGTTTTGTTAAAAAAATGATTTTCTTTTAACTAAAAACCACACCTTTACTGAGGGTAATAAAACCTTATTAACATGATTAAGGTGCTTCTTGTTTGGCATTTTTTTTTTTTTTTTTTAAACTTAATTTTCCTAAATTCCTAAAGAAAAACTATATAGGTTTCATGGTTACATACAATAGTTATATAATTATCTTTTTAATGAGGTAACAACAGCCAAAAAATCACTGAAATTGTTTAACCTTATATTAGAAATATACCTATTCTTAATATAATTTGGGATATATTATATATTATATATATCAAAAAGGGATAAAGAAATTAAAGAAATAGATAAAAAAAATTCTTCTGATTAGTGGTAAAGTATAAAGTAATACCTCCTGCTTGGGGCAAACTCATTAAAAAGGTCACACCTGGTCAGAGAGTATTAATTTCTAATTAACATTCATTAAACATTGCAACATCCTGTAAAACTTAAATCGCAAGGCCTTTTGAATTCACTAGATAAGTAATACACGAGTTTAAGAAAAAAAGGGCTTTCTTTTTACCTGTAAAACACACATGTACTGAGGTAATTAAACCTTATTAAAGTGCTTCTTGTATGCCATGTCTTTAATTTTGACAAAAGTTATTTAAATTTAATTGAAATAAATTTTTTCTGCAACTTTGGAACACATTTCCTTTTTTAAATGGTTATCAAGGATTGCTATGAAAGTTCTATTATCATGATTATATTAAATTCTTGGTTTTACAAAACAAAGGTGTAATTTTAAAAATTTATTAAGTTGCTTTATATACTATTTTAAATATATTTTAATAAAAAAAATGTTCACTGCATTATTAACTAAACTCAACTGACACCATAAATCTATACAAGGCTTAAGTAAATGGTGAAAATTGTCCAGTAACCAAAAAATATATCTGAAACATTCAAAAAAATTGGAATAACATTGAAAATATTAGTCACAATTCAGTTTTGAGATTATTTGATTAGCTTGTTTTATTTTTATTTTAAAGGTGATATATATATGTAAGTGTTGATAAATATGGTGTTGAATTTATATTATGTTTATTGTGAAATTTTGGTTTCAATGCCATATTGAATACATTTTAAATTTCATTAATCGTTGTTCAAATTTCTAGCCAGGGGAAATAGCTGTTAAAAACAATTCCTAAAATGATTAAATACAATAGATAGATACAAAAATTAGGTCTAGGTTGGTTAAGACTTAGTCGAGTATGGTTCAGACTAGGTCGAGTATGGTTCAGACTAGGTCGAGTATGGTTCAGACTAGGTCGAGCATGGTTCAGACGAAAATAAAATGGTTAAGTACCGGTCGAGTACAAGTTCAGACTGTTAAGTATGGTTCAGACTACAGTCGAGTATTATCAAGTAAATTTCAGACCAATTCAGACTGGTCGAATAAAAATCAGTACAGTCGAGTACAAATATAGGCCATTTCAGACTTTTACTGGTTTGTAGTGTTCTGTCAGGATATTCTTACGAAACGCCTTACCATCAAAGGGAATTTCCAAAGTCATACACAATCCACCTGCAATTCAGGCCGAATGAGAAAGATCTCAACGTGAATTGGACAGATTTATCTACAAATCCCATATGTGGACACTTGATTATATAATCAAATGTGCAAAGGAATTAATTATATTTGCGGCAGACGAAGGGCTAGATAAATGTATCACTTTACACAATGCAATTATTCATCGAATGTGTATGGACTCCGATCCAAGATTAGTGCTTTAGCATTCCAGTTTAGATCGACAAATGGCCTCTGCATACATCCTTCCATTTTAACAAACAAGCCTTGGATCTCAGCTAAGTGTGAAGTATTAATAATGAAGAGAAAGAACATCTTTGGAATGAATCGATGAAATTCCTTACAAATGGTATAGAATCTGAATCCATGTCCGGAAAATTGAAACTTGCAACCGTTTTATTCATGTTTAATAAAACCAAAGATTCCAAAGAAATGTTAGATAGAATTGACGAAACATTTGACCCTAAAAATTTTAATACGCATTGTGGATGCAGCAAGGAGTCTAATTATGTATGTGAAGCACTTAGAAACCGTATCAGAGAGGAAAAACTATCTACGCTCGAGATTCTAAGAAAATATATTGGGGTTTGTGTTTCGTTTTTGAGAACGGAAAAGGATATCGTACCAAAGCATCTCCACTACGAAATGTTTCGATCCGTCTTTAGTGAGGTTAGTAATTTGATATATTGTACATTACCTTCTTCTACATAAGTACACTTTGTCGATGTGTTTAAAATAGAAAAATGCAGTAAACGGTTATTAAAAAAAACTTTAAGTATGAATTTTTCCATACTTACTAGAACAATGTAGAATTCAAGCTGCAGACATTTAGTCAGATGATATAAGACAACCAAACAGAGAAAGTCATATACAAATGTAGAAAAGCGAACACTATAAAAAAGTGTAGTAAGCCCTTATTACAAATGTTCTTTAGAGGCGTTGGGTTGATGTGTAGATTAATAATTATGCATGCATGTTTGTCTATTTCTTTAAGTAAACTTCAATATGCATGTACATATTGACACTTGAACGATACCTGTTATACCAATGTAAGGTTTGGAACGCAGAAAAGAACCCAACTTTTCTTTGAAATCATCTGAACCAAGTCATGTCTCAGGACTATACAATTCTCAATTGTTTTAAAAAGGAACATTTAGCAAATTCCATATACCAGCCAAAAAAGATAACCTCGGTTTTTTGGTGGGGTTTGTGTTGCTCAGTTGTTATTTTATTGTGTTGTGTTTTATATGCTGATTTTTGTCTTTTGTTCTTTTTTCGTTTTTTTTTACAATAGTTGTCAGCTTGTCATCGACCAGTGAGTTTAAATATACTTTTGATATCATCCAAGTCTCATTCACCCTCTAACGTAATCTAATCTACGATTAAGCACTTCCATTGGTACAGAAATAATTGAACTAACTAAAATCACTTCTGCAAACAGTCGAACAATATGTACAAAACATGTTTAACCCCGCCGCATTTTTGCGCTTGTCCCAAGTCAGGAGCCTCCGGTCTTTGTTAGTCTTGTATGTTTTTTTTTAATTTTAGTTCCTTTATATGTTTTGGAGTTTAGGGTGACGTCCATTTTCACTGAACCAGTACACAATTTTATTAGCTGAGGACCACCTCCGGGTGCGGGATTTTCTCGCTGCGTTGAAGACCCATTGGTGGCCTCCGGCTGTTATCTGCTCTTTGGTCGGGTTGTTGTCTCTTTGACATATTCTCCATTTCCATTCTCAATTTTATGTACTCCATAAAAAGATTAAAGCAGTTAAGTTAAGCTAGCCAGTTATTAAGTACTGGTGTTAACCAAAAGACTGACAAACAAGAAAATGAAAAGCTCCTCTATCGTTGACCTTATAAAGATAAAGAGACGAGGTATGATTTCTAATAGGCCAACTATCCACAAGGTACAAAATGATAAGGATGTAAACAAATGCATGTCACCCTTGACACACTCTGAATGAATTGATACCTACTAGTATATATATATATTAGGGATGTCAACTCGGTGAAGATTTACTAATCGAGTACTCGTTGGATTTACCAAGCGATAATCGAGTACTCGCTCGGAAAAACATCCACAAAATGGAAACACAAAATTATACCCATTTCACGTATTGTGGGACGTTGTCTTATGGACGTAAAACCCTCAACATGATTACCCAAACCCGATATATATAATAGTTAAAGGAATTTTATACCATAATTAATAGCTCATTTACCACATGTACTAATTATGTCAACTGGCAATGATCTAATCAATTGATTAATAATATAAACATCTATAGAAAAATTATTACTCAAACAATAGTATTTGGAAATCTTAAAAAAACACATTTAATGATCAACAAAGGGGTGCTGATTAAAACTTACTAATGCCTTTAACCATTTTCTGAGGGTTGACACAGGGTGCAACGAATTGATTTATATTTAGAAATATTAACTTGAAAGCTTTTTTCTGTGACGAGTTGATATCTCAACTTTGTTACGTAATTCACAGTTCTGCTAATGAAAATATTTGCTCTGTCGATACAGAGGTAGTGGAATGACTAAGACAAGATTAGCCAAAAGTGTTAGCATTGGAAAGGTGTACTTGCTCATAGCCTACATAATTATGCTGGGAGGAATTTTAAATGACAATGAACGCAAACATTCGAAACGTATTTCAGTTTTGATTGATTTGATTACTAGTAATATCTAATTTCCAGGGAGGCGCTCCTAATAAAAATACTATTTCTTTAAGAATGCAACACATTCTAACAGGAAAACGATTAGTCAGGTATCGTTTTGGTATTCGATACTCGGTACTCGTTGAATTCCTAATATATATATATATATATATCATATATATAAAGGATAAAAAGACGGGCACATGCATAAACTGAATCACTACCTGAAAGGTTGTACATTCACCATAGGAACCACAATATGAAAATAGAAGTCATTGTAATGTAATTTAAAATAGATTTTTTAAATGGATGGACATATTTTATTTAAGTGCAAACATATATGTACTTAATCGTTTTTTTTCTTTTGTCAATTTCCAGACTCCCAGAAAACCATACGTTGACGACTGGTTTGACAGCGCAGCCGTAGAATCTGATATATTCCTGTTTTACATGTTATTCGGGGTTAATCAGAAGCTTGGTAATTATAAAGCAATGAAAATATCAAAACTTTCTTTGCTTATGGAAATGGAACGAAATGTTAATCTTACTCATGTTGATACGGCACAAAATCTAATTGGCTGTCTGTTCAAGGAAAGTGGAGATCTTGATTTGGCATGGCAATGCTTTATGGCGTCATGGGCCTTTAGATCTGACCACAGTGCTGCAAAATGGCACATGGCAATCATGTTGTATGAAGGAATAACATGTCTAGGTCTTTGTAATGAAACCGAAATTCAAGGAACAGAAGAAAGAAATGAGCTTGAAGATGAATATAATTTATAGTCGATTATGATGATAATTTTTAACTGAAATAACTGGAAGTTAGTATACCTATAAATCCGTCGTCCTGAATATGCATGAAACAGTTGCCATAGAACTAAAAGCAAACAAAACTCATCCTTTTTATAAATCCATAGCCAGGAGTTATGCTTATTGATTATTGAAAAATATAACAATAAAGTATTTCCATTAATCTTATTGTCTTATATTTTTTGTAAACAATAGTAAAGGATGAGACACGTTACCAATTCAGAACGTTTAATACATGTTTAACAGTAGCAAACGTTTGAGAACACTGATGGTTAAAAAGATTCTTTTAAAACTATGATACAATTACACAAAAACATTGTATGTCTAACAGATGTATTTAAGAAAAGCCAAATTAAACTAATTAAACCAGAAAATCACTTCAAATAATACACCAACCACTAGCAAATTAAGATCATTTCATAATAAAAATACAACAAACATTTCAACAAATTTATACAAGGTCATGCGACGTGAAACATGTTTTTGTACTTAATGCTGGACAATTTTCAATCTGAAAACACTTTATGATTGCCAAAGACACAACTGTCCAGCAGAGTTCAAATATCAGGGATATAAGCAATTATAGGTCACCGTTCGGTCTTCGACATTAAGGGAAAATCCATACAGTATAGTCAACTATAAAATGCCCCAACATTAAAATTGTTGAACAATTCATTTTGCAAGGTTTAAAGGTATTTTTGTCGTGTGTGTCTAGGATTGCAAGTTGTGGATACTAGGTATTGGTTTGAGTCCGTTGGTATATAATAAATATCGATCTGTATTTTTTCCTTTGACCTTCACAATAAGTATATCTAAACACGGAAGTTGATTTTGACGTGATTCTATTGTATATTTGATTTTTGTATAAAAGTTATTTACAAGGTATGCATGTGATGAAACTACTTTATCGTAGTTTTACATCAAACTTGTTTATCTAAATGTATATGCATATGTCTTTCATTCATATGATAAGTGGCAACCCATGCAGCCAAAGAAATCATAAAAATACATTATATAATTCTTCCAGTTCATATAAATATTTTCTGAACTGTCTATCAATAAAACATTTCCTGCGCACTAAGTTGATCTTTTCGCTGTTGATTCCTAGATCCTTCTATATGAATTTAGAGATATCTGGAATATAGAGCTTTACTATAAGTGTGTAAAAAATAATATGAAATTGATTCGACTTTATAGTTAGTAGCATTAATGTCAAAGTTAAAGGAATTAAGTGAATATATCAACAGGAACTGGTTATGAACAAAAGAAGGACACACATGTGTATA